AGAGAGGGAGGGGACTCGCCCTTCCTCTCACAGACTGCAGACAGTAAGGCACAGCAGCCCCAGTGCCAGGCTCTGAGGACAAGCAGGTGCAAAACACTAAGTGCTTCTCTGAACCTTTGGTCTTCCAAACACAAGCCTAAAGCCCCTGCAGAAGAGAAGCAAACCCTGTCCCATCAGGGCACAGGGAAGCTTGCAGGTGGCTCAGAGAAGGGGAGAAGAGAAGCACTTCTCATGTCTGGGTATATGGCAGGAAAGCCCACGAGCCTTTTCCAAGACAGTAGTCTCCTAGTGCTGAGGACAGCCAGGAAATTCCCTCCCAAGACCAGTCACAGGTAGAACTGGACTGCCCTCAAGGGATGGTAGAAAGGTGAGAAGACCTCCTATTGACTTGCTGGGATGGACTGAGATGGTACATCCTGACCCCAGTGTGAGCTGGAGGGTGACAAGCTGGGGCAGGGGGACAGAGGCTGGCTTTTTGGAAGAGGTGTGTGGGGTAGGGGAAGGCGATGCCCAACTCAGCTCATGTCTGGTGACGCCACATGCTCACAGAAGAGATGCCCATCCCAGGCTCTGTTGCCCCAGCTCTGCAACCTGACCAGGTTTAATAGAAGATTCTGAGCTCCACACATGAGAGGAATGAATAGCCAGGTGCAGAGAAGTGCCGAAAGCCTGCTGTATTCACAGATGCCTTCCTGTGGTTTCTACCAAGAGTGGTCAAAAGATGAATGAAAAATCAAAAGGAATGCCCAAACCAAAGATTTTAACTTTCCATTCATGCATTCTGCAGCCCAGTGGACGTGGGGAAGCTGTCAGTAATTCCTGTTACTGTTAAATGACTGTGATCTGTTGAGTGTAGCTCTGCTCTTCATTTTGTGAAAATCTGTCTCCAAAAGGAAAATGGTGCTCCCAAGCAAGGTAAAAGGGGATGGCCTTAATTTAAGTGATAGAGTCAACATTTCAGATTTGCAGGCATGTCGAGCAGAAGTTGGGGGCTTGCTGGGAAAAATGAATCCAATGAATCCAGAGTGAGCATCCTGAGTGAACATTCAAGATTTTTTTGGGTCAGTAATTCCTGTTACTGTTTAAACTGACTGTGATCTGTTTAAGTGGTGCTCTGCTCTTCAATTTTTGGTGAAATCCTTGTCTCCAAAAGGAAAATGGTGCTTCCCAAGCAAGGTAAAAGGGGATGGCCTTAAATTTAAGTGAATAGAGGCCAACATTTAGATTTGCAGGCATGTCGAGCAGAGTTGGCTTGCCTGGGAAAATGAAATCCAATGAATCCAGAGTGAGCATCCTGAGTGAACATTCAAGATTTTTCCTCAAAAGTGGTCTCCTTGAAATCACAGACCTATGGACACTGAGGGTCTACTGGGAAGCAAACTCAGAGTGTCCCTATGCAGCAAACGTGGTAGACAGAAATGATAAAAAAAAAAAAAAATAACAATGGAGAAATCCCAGGAAAAGAGAGTTAAACTACCTGAAGAGTAAGAAGTTTTGTTAGAGAGATGGTAACCATAAAAAAAGCCCAAATGGATGTTCTTTTTTTTTGGCATGGGGTTTGAAACTAGGGCTTTGTTGCCTTGCAAGGCAGGAAGGCAGGTGGACGCCATACTCGCCCTTTTAGCTTTTTAGGTTTGGTCTTGTTTTGTTTGTTTTGTTTTTCCCCCAGTTAGAGTGTTTTCTTTTTTTTGACCAAGGCTTGGCTTTTTGGACCCTATGATTCCTCCTAAACCTTCACCTCCAAAAAGCTAGGAGGACAGACATGTGCCTCACCAAGACCTGGGTTTGTTTTATTGAGATGGGGTCCTCATAACTGTTTGCACTGCGGCCTTGGAACCACAATCCTCCCATTCCTCTGTATTCTGAGTACCTGGAATTATCAGGTTCTGAGCTACGTATGCCCTGCCAAGCTTTTTCCTTTTCCTTGAGAATGGGTTTTGTTTATCTAGTCAAAGATGACCTCAAAGTCCATGATTCTCCTGGTCCATCTCCCTGAGTGCTGAATTAAAGACGTGTACCATGTTACTGGCTTCCACAATTTTATTTATAAATAATAGACATCAAATCATAGTCCTAGAACATCAGTGAACCTGAAACATGATACACAAATGGGTATATGCACATGTGGTACCTATCTAGACAATATCACAGTCAATCAAATTAAAATAAAAGATAAAGCAAAAATTCTCAAAGGACCAGGAGAAAAGGGTCAAGCGCATATGTGACTATCAAAATGCAGCAGGGGTGTCATCACTAATTTAAAAAGGGAGAATGCAATGAAGCAATTTACTAACATACTGAAAACAAAGCCATCCAATAAGAAATTCCATTTTCAGCAAAACTATCCCTCAAAAATTAAGGTGAAACAAAGCTCTCTTTTGGAAACAAGAATTCATTAGCAATAGATCTGCAGTACAAGAAAGTGAAACATTAAAGTTCTTTAAAACAAAAAAAAAATTCAGACAGAACGCTTGGGATCTACTCCTGTGGGTGAATCTACTTGGTGATGCTGTTAATAAACTCAGAGGACTGTGGATTTAGAAGAGAAAGATGGGTTCAACAGTTCTAGAGGACAGATTGTTCAAGAAGAAGAGATAGGCCATCTGGTGGAGACAGGCAAAGAGAGCAAAGAGGGGCTCCCTGAACCTCTGCTGTTAAGGACCAAGACTTCAACTCCCCAATAAGGATATCAGCCATTAATGAGTGCCATTTGTCCCCCTGACCAAAGCACTGCCATTTGTGTAAACTTTCCAACAACAGTTGAAATGGTATCGAGTTCCCAACATGTGACTTGGGGGGGGCCAAATTGAAATATGCCATATCCAAAACAATGAGGGGTTTCCAACAATGGCAAAAGTGAAGATAAAGATAAAAACTGATTTTATATTAAATCACTCTAAAAGATATTGAACAATAGCCCTTACAACATAAGTAAAAATAAAACATGGGTCCCCAGTAAAGCATAAAGGACAGCAGGGAGAAGCTTGAAGCACACAAGATATTAGGTTTCTGATAATCCTGAAAGAGTGGAGGGCAAAACCGTGCTATATGAAAATTTGTGTATTCTAAACTCTGGGGAGACAAAGAAATATATTAAAGTGTCAGAGATTCTGGCCTTGAGCCCTCACCAGATTATGTGGGTATCACCAAGAAATCAAGAATTAACACATCGTAAGCCAAACTTGCCTTGGAATCACTTTTGCTTAATGCCTTCAAAATGAAAGTGAGTTTTATCTGGGAAATCCCATCAACTATCAGCTTCCTTTGGAGAGGATGATTTGATTTTAAGAAGGCCCCTGGCCTTCATTTGCATATTGGGAAACAGGAACTCCTTCCTATGGAGGCTCAGGTTCCAGAGCCAGAACAAGGGACCTTCCGGTTCCACACACTTCAGCTCCCCATTGTTAACGTGGCCTTCTGTTGAGCTCGTTTTCCAGGGCGCATGGAGTCTTCCCCAAAGGAGCTCAGCCACTGGTATTCCTGATTAAAACCTTGGCTCTGAGTTTACTTGATCCTGATCCATTGCCGTGGCCCTGGTTCCGTTTAATCCAACCTTAAACACACCGGTGGCTTGCTAGCAAGTTTTCAGCAAGACCTGCCATCTGTGCCGATTACTGTTTTTCAATTTTTACTTCCATGGAATATGTTATTTTAGCAAAAAAACCTTGAATTTAGAGATTTGTAGATTGGCCATACTTTTTTAAGATAGATTCCCCAACTTTGTCAATGGATTAGAATATCAGAAACTCTTTTTGGCGAACCTTAAGTCACAGGCCACTGACACAGTTTGATGGCTGACCCAGAAGTGAATGACGTCTACAAATGGTTTTATTCACCAGTTTCCAACTGACACACTGAGGGCAGAGGCAGGCCATGCTTCCTTCTGAATAGTCAGAACGGTGTCCGCCCCAAACACAACCTTCTTTGGAAAGAAATGAACAAAGAATGACATGTCCATCACGGTTAGGGCCAAATAAAAAATGAATAACGCTGATAACACTGACAAGGCCTGGCTCTCTGGCAACCCTTTGATTCTTGAACAGGGGTTCAGTGACGACAACTATTTATGTCTCAGGAACGGCACTGAGGAGGAACAGAGTGTAACAAGTCGGAATAACTCACATACAGGTTCTGTAGTAAGTGGAGAAATTTAACCGGAATGTGAAGCAAGCCTGTGGCTGGCGATCGGGCCAGGGTAGTCATCATCAGCTGGGAACCTGGCCTTCAAACCTGATGCCTTGCCTCCCAGCTCTCCATCTCAATCCAAAATATCACTTACTAAAGCTATCCATGCATCCGCTCATTCGCAGCTGCTTATTGGAGAGAGAAATACCAGCCTTAAGCTGTTCGTGCTGCAGTGCGTGTCCTAAAAATCCCTCATCCTCTTTGGAAATTCTTACTTCACTTTGCAAGGGTTACCTGCATAATCAAAGCTGGAGAAGATTTGTGCATTTGACCTTCGTCAGCCCATTCATCAGACTATTAACTCAGTCTCACAACCATTTTTAAAAGGTTAGCGTCTCCTCTGTGACACGCTCCCTCCATAAAATGAATATCACATGAACATGGGCCCTGAGGGGGCTGCTGGGGGCTAGCTTATTTAACAGCCTTCGAGACAAGAAATGGAGGTTTACGATGTGACCTAAACAGGACTTACGACTGTCTATCTTTTTGGATGCTAATATGAATATTTGTTGTCAGCCATAAGAAAACTAACAATATTACAAATGGCTAGCTTTTGTGCGTGTGTTTTTTTACCCAAAGAACCTGAAATTGTAGCAATTCTAATACTTTAAGTTTCCAAATTCTACCTTGCCCCATTAATTTGCTTCTCTGAAGACAAATTTCATACAGCGTAGGTTTTGCCACACTCAATTTCATGCAAGTCTTAAACAGTCTTTGAACAATAACAGTTCACTATTTAGTAAGATAAGGGATTTACTCTTCTTTTAAGAAAATTAGTCAGTGAGGCAGTGAAAGGCCAGAAGGGGTTGCCTTACTTTTGTATTCCAGGTGAAAGCCGGCAGCCGCCACGCTGATATCGGACTGAAAATGCAGGTAGAGCTGGTTGGATGTGCTGTTCAGTAGGGCAGGCACCGTGGTACCTGTGGGAAGGAGGCAGGTGGAGTTTAAACACGACCAAAGCACCATTTCTAAATACCAATGGAGGTCATTCAGCTAGGCTCACAGCTCCTGAGAGCTGCTCTGATCACCACGCATTTAACCTGAACTTGGCTCTGACCGTTGCACATTCAGTCATCCCATGTTCCTAGGTACCATAACGAGTTTTCATTACCTGCCTCTTCCTGTGGACAGGACACCCGTCTATGGCACCAGAGTGTACACACACAGACTCATACTTTGCCACAAATTGGCATTTCTCACTTTTTTAAACCATGTAAAATTCTGTTTTTCTGCGCTTTTTAAAAAATTGTGTATTTTTTTTTTAACTTGGCAGGAACAATGAAAGAAAACAAATTCAACACCCAAGTCTTAGGAGCTTTGGGGGAGCAGTCCTGCCAGGTCAGTGCTAATGGGTGCATTATTCACAAGAGGTGGCTTTTCCGGTCTTTCTGTGACAAACACTGAGTAATGTTCCCGTGAGATCTGTGGATGAGTTCAGATAGATATGTGTGAAAGGAAAGAGAAGTTTATTTTTATATAATACCTCCATTTCTTAAAATGCTCTAGTAACTGACAGGTCACAGGAATTGCAGGTGCTGAGGACGAGGGACGGAAGCTATGATTCCACAAGGTGCTGAGGAAAAGAAGCGAGTCACCACTCAGCATTCTGGTGGGATGATCATGATATGGGAGAATAATAAGCAAGTGTCAAAAACCATTTCCCTAAAGTGTGTGTGCTGCATTCTCTACAGCCTGAAATCATTCTCAGACTAGATGTCCAGGAGATACCCACGAGGTAAAACTCACCACAGAGCGAGCACAACATTAGAGCGAGCTGCGGTGAAGGGAGCAGTAGGGTACAAAGTAAAACACCATGCCTTAAATGAAACAGTCAACAAGCAAACAGACATTGCAAAGGAAAGTCTTCCATTCCCATAGCTCTGCTCTTACTCAATACCAACGTCCCTCAAGAGGGAACTGAACCAGAAGAGACTCCCGCCATCCATCACAGGCTCTTCAAACATGGTGGATACAACAGCTCTTCACTTGCCCCCGTGACACCTGGAGGACCTCTGGGTCCCTGTCTTAGTTGGCAACACTGTCCACTCCACCAAGTCTTCACATCCAAGGCCTGCTCCCTCCCTCTCAATGAAGCCCCACTGCCCCCTGCCCCTGACTAGGTCCTCTGTGACTTGCTTCCTAACTTCTCCTACACTGGCTCTGCTTGTTCCATGTCCTCATCTTCCCAATCACCAAGCAGCTCAGTCTAGCAGCTTCCACAGCAGGGATCCTGCTATCTTCTCTGACGGGTCTTCTGGGTCTGCTCCTGCCCCAATCCCATGTGGTCTTGATTCAGAAAGCGCTTTTAAAACTGTGTATATGACAATGCCATGTTACAAGTCTCAGGTTCCTGATCACTTCCAGGTATCTCAGACTCCTTGATTTGGAGGAGAGACCTCTCAGGATCTGATCACTGCCTGTGCTTCTAACTTCTTCTCCTGACTTGCATTTCGGATTTCACTTTATTCTGCTCTGAGGTTTCCCGTGATCATAAGCCTGGCATGCTGTCTCACTTCTGCACTGACCTGCTTACCAATCCTATCCCCCTGACTCAAATGTCTCTGTTCACATCCCAGCAAAGTCCCTGGTTTATTTATCTCCAAAACATATGCTTCCCGGCCAGATAAAACCAGAAAACCTCTGCAAACGTGCCGGTTATTTTCTGACTGGGTATAAAACAAAAATTTCCCTGATTAGAACAGAGATTCCAAGACTTAAACATCATTAAATCCTGGGACATTGCACTGCTGCTGCCTTGACCAGTTTTCTCTAGGCTAACCTGGTCTTCACCTCAGGCCTGGACTAGGGAAGTTCATTCAGCCATCTCCAAAATGGTCACATGCCTTCCCTCTAAGCACTTACTTATTCTGTGCACAACAGATGAATACAGCTTACAAAGTCACAGCTAGATGTGGTGTGTGACATCTAAATCTATGTCAGTGATGACTTCTCATTCTGTGGACTTGTGAATAATCTTCTTGATTACTGGGGGTTCTTTTCCTGCCCAGGGTAGTAAGGAGCTGCAAACTAGCGGGTCCTTGGTTCTTTGCTTCACACACACTCATTGCCAAGCTCCTGGGGACCCTTCAGTTCTAATGGCTGGGAGATTTTGGGCACACGTTGGACTGAATGTTTTCTGCCAACTCCCTGATCCAACTCGACACCCTTTTCTAATATCCAGCAAAGAGAGACACATCCACTAGAATGCTTATGTTAACATATTTTGTCCAATTTATATGATGCTTGCATTTTGGGACGATGTGTGTAGAAAGTAGAGTATATCCGCAGGTATCTAGCAACTTTGGCCTAAGAAGTTTTCCTTAAGTCATCTGGTTTTACCTGTGATTTGTGGAAATTGGTGTTTTTCCCACTCCATTGTCCTACGTAGCTAAGTACAAATCCTTCACAGAGGACTTCTTTCTTTCCTGTCTACCCATGGGTCTCTTTCCAGGGACTGAGAGTTGACTCAGTGCTCACCTCCTCCAGAGAACCACTGGCCTCCATGTTTACAGTGATCGATCTAGTCACTTCTCACACAATGGGTCATGCTTGGGTCTATCTTGTCCATTGTACATCTTTTAGGAAATGAGATTGGAACTCACAGAGCTTTAAAATGCGTCTAGTAGCTCCCAGCTCCCATTATTGTGACTTGCACTCGTAGGAACTCAAAGCACTCTTTTGGGCCAGTTCTGTGGCTTTGGCACAGTAGAATCAGAAAATCTGCTGGTACCATGGGTATGAATGAACTCTACTGCCCTGTCACAGAATTTGATGTTCTAATTCCATAAAACAAAGATAATGGTAAGTCTTTTACATGTGTGCAGTAAATGAGTATGTGAAAGTGCTTTGTGAGTTGTGTTCTCTGTAAATTAATAGTCACAGCAAATAAATTCATGAATGAAGGGCAGTCCTCCTTGTACTTTTATTATAACATGTAATCATAGAGTCTCCTATAAATGAATCAGGAATTTTGATGCCTTAGGTAGCATATGAGACCAGCCGGTATCCATTAGCCAGGGAGAGTCGGGAGGGGCTGTGCTTGGGCACCCAGCCACTGCTGCCAGAGGGTCTACTGCCATCCCCACACAGTGGGGTCCACTTTGGGCTATCAGCAGAGCTTATCCTACCACACAAAATGCAACTGAACAATTTTTCTTAAATGTTGCCACAGCTAGAATATTTCTGATCACACTGTCTCACTGTGACCTAGATAGAACGATGCATGACAAAGGGAGCCAAGAAGTCTTATTACCTCCCTGCTGGTCCCACTCTGAGCACAGGGATGCTCACTTCCTTTAGTGCTCACTGTCAGCTGCAAATTCATATGCATTTGCTCTATTTTATTCATTTATCATTTATAACCTGCCTGCTTCCAAAAATGATTTCCAATGGCTTTCAAAAACAGACCTACATGCATAGATATGCCTGCCCAAGTCGAAATGAAAACCCAAATCTGAATGTATTGCTGACGTAATTGTCCTTCCTGAAACCTGCACCGCTCAGGACTACTCAGTATTGTTGTTTTAATTGAATGGCTAGCTTGTAAAGTGGGTTTAATATCTCCTTTATAAACATTTTTTAGTATCACAGGAATAAAATCATTTAAATATTGATTATGTTCTGAAACATTTAAACTTTCTGGCAGAAGTGGCATTTATTTCGAGATGATTTTTTTTAAAAAAACCAAAATCTCTGTAACAACCTGAGATAATTCCCAACTTAGGGAAAATTGCAATTATAGAACAAAAACATCTAGAAAGTCCACTGCCTGTGCTAGGTCATTATCACACACTATGGACGCATGCGTTACAGAATTCTAAAACTGCTTAGGAACACCACATGGCCCACTTCTAATCAACATCAAGCCCACACTTGTTTTAAAACATGACAGCTCCCACAATCAAAACTAACATGGGTGCAACAAAAACTCCACGCCTCGTTTAAGTTTCAATCACCCACCAGAGAGGGCGATGCTACCCCATGGTCACTCAAGGCATCCATGCTGTAAGAGTCCCTCAGTCCAGAAGTGTCCCTTGGCTCTTTTCGTTTTTGATCTTGACACTTTTGTGGAACGGTTTTCAATCTAAGCTGATGCTTGTCACGATTCAGGCTCTACGTGTGATGCTATGTCCTTCTTGGGCCAGCTCACCTGTCGGCAAGGTCTGCCTGGTAGGAGTGCAGACTGCAGTTGCCGAGCGGCTCAGTGACCGTGTGTGGCTGTTTATAGTGAGCCACGGTGAGAATATTTACACCACGGCAACTGCAACAGGATGGCTGACGGGCTTTAATCTTGGATCTTTCTGAGAGCCAGGTTCTCAGGACACCAAGGCCCACCACATGCTGCTAATGAGGATCTCAGCATTAGTCGTGTGGTGAAGGGAGTCCATCAGGATCTCCATGCGGACCCTACTGCTCTACTCGGCAAAAAGGAAGGGTTTGGGGGGGGATTGAGACTACGGATGTCCTGATCCTACTAACACCTTGCCCACTGTGCTTAGCATTAACACTCCAGCCTGAATGTATTATATTATTATTAATTATTGTTGTTCCCAAAGCACAGCCTTTTACCCTCCCCCTTCTCCAGGTACCGGTTGTGTCGTCAGCATGTGCAAGCATCTCTCTCTCCTGCTACTTACTCATTTTCTTATGTTGGTGAAGGCTTAGGGATTTCCACCTTATACCAAATGACCAGCCTCATTTGTTTTTGTGTTTGGCCCTCACAGAGCCTTAGACTCAACACTCCTCTAAGAAATACTGGCTCCTTAAGGGGAAATGGGACTCAGAATGATGTTTAGAAGACAAATTTTGGTTCTGGGTGGGTTGGTTGGTGATTGAATGTTACTGTTTTACACTCCTCAAAAGACAGAGGTAGGGAGTAGAGTATGAATGCACACACACACACAATCACACACACACAACGTACACACATGCACATAACCATAGGCACACACAACCACAGTACACACATACACACACAATCACACACACACGTACACAATGTACAATCACGTGTGCACAACCACATGTACACACAAAACCATACATGTACAGTCACACGCACAATCACACATGTACACACAGTCACACATACACACAGTCACACGCACACACACACAGTTGTTTAGGTCTATAGCTATCTATATTAAAGCCTCACATTCACAGCAACCTCAGCAGTTCAAATCCAGCCTGAGTTCTGCTGTAGCCTTCCTGCTTTCCAGTTTCTACTTGCCTTCCACACTAAGAAGCCAGTTCATGCTGTCCTTGGTACATTTCATGCACTTAATGCCCAACCTCCCAGTCTCACTGGGAATGTCCCCAGTCCTCAATCTTGCAGCTGCCACCTTGCCTGGCAGTGTCCTTGCTTGGGGCCTAACTGAGCCCAACACCTCCTAAAAGCACGTGGGAGGAGGAAAGTTGGCCAGTCTGAAAATTTAAAATTCATTCTACTCTTGACAAAATTAACTCAAACTTTGCACCAATCCTGTCGAGTCTACTGAAACACTCATCCTCCACAACTTCTTGTGTCTGGCTCAGGGAAGGCCCACAGCCAGAAGTAAATGAAGCTCTGCTTTTTAAATTGGGACAAACACCATATGGCCCTCAAGAGAAAAGAGGTCAGGCTCTGCCACCTGTGTGGGAACGTCTCAGGCCCGAGGCTGCTGTCTACCTTGCTGTCTCTGTCTCTGTCCCCGGTTAGACCTTGGGGCTCCCACACTGTGATAGGCATGCAGAGAGGGGAGAAAGGAAAACCTCAAAGTAAGTTATCCAGATCCTCGCAGGGAACAAGATAAAACATCTTCAGATATATGGTCTCGGCCAAAACATAGGGAAGGAAAGAGACAGAGCATCTGTGGTCCTACACCAGAGAGTAAGAGGCAAAAGAGAAGATGAGACATAAGGGTCTCACCAGCCCGCCATTCACAACGACTCTGACCACCAGATAGACACTCTACGAACATGAGACCCTCACCCATCAGGATGGCTGCTCCTCTTATCTGGGGAACAGTGAGTAAGAAGAGAGAGGTTTGCAGACAAAACCGTGGGAGAGATGCGGAGTGGGACTGTTACTCACGCCCCCTGGATTTCAGAACATGTTCCATGTTCCATGCATTCAATGCATTCAGGGTACACTCGCTTCCCAGTCAAACCCAGTGGGTGCTTCACATGCACGAGGGTTGTGGTCCTAAGACATTCTGAGATCCTGGGCACACCCTGGCTTGTTCATTCCCCCCAGCATGTGGAGGTGACAGATGAAAACTCTGCTGACACGAGGCTGGAGGGGGTGGCTCTCTCATTCCACAAGATCGGTACTGTCTGGGAGCTCAGATATGCCTTTGGAAAATAGCTAATCACACACATACCAAAGATGTCTTAGAAATATGTCCACTCTTGAGTGGTCAGCGATGGGATGAGAGAAGTCTGCCAACTTCAACTGCCAGAGTGCTTTAATTAAATGAATTTTCAGTATAAAGACATTCAATGGAAATGAGCGCGGGAACGATTTGTGAGCCTGGCTCCCTTAATTGGATAGAAAATTTATAACATAAATCAAACTTACTTTATTAGAGTATTTTTAAGTAGACTTACATCTTTATAGAATATTCATGAATTTTATTCTTTGATAAGTGTTACTAATGTTTTTATTTAATGTAATATTAATTGTCTAAAATATGTTTATATCTTTGTGTTTTCTACTAATTGGTTTAAAATAATATTCTACAAATTCCACAATTATTTTGGGAGGAATTTATTGATTTAAAAGATCTTTATTTCCATCTTAGCAAGGAATATATACTGAATATCAGTTACTAGCTCGGAGGTATTTCTCTGCGAGGGGAAGAGGGCTGGGCGTTGGATTCAGCCCTGAAGCCACTAATTCAATCAGGCATGCCTGTGTACTGAAAACCCAACAAAGCATGGACATCATTGATGTGGTGGGTGATACATGTCAATGTTTCTGGAAACTGACCCATTCTGAGGACATGAAAGCTTCATGACTGAGACTCTCCAGTTGTCACTCTGAGTCTCTCCCTTTGGTAACTCCTGGTTCCTTTTGGACACAGCTGTGATCATTTGGGTTTGCTTGCTAAGGACTGCGCGTCCTCCAGAGAACAATCAGTACTGTGGAGTCCCAGAGCTGGATGAAAACTGGGAGCCCCCAGCTGACGGTTGGTGTGTGAAGGGAGCCTGTGCAGAGCCAGGCCTCCAACCTGGGCAGCCCTGGCCAACTCCAGCTTCAGGACGTGAGCACCAGACTGTCCTGCAGGGCACTGATGCCAGATGATTTTGAAGAAACTTTCTCTGTGCTGATGACAAGATTTGATCTTCAGATAAAGCGCAGCAAAGCATACAATTCGCAAGCAGGTTTTACCTGCCACATTCGGAAAAATGTGAGAGGGGCTAGAAACTGCACATGACACACAAAGATTAATTTATCTTCTCAAGAAACTTAAATTTCTAGAAAATTAATGAACATGTTACATGAAAATGAGCAACGGAATTCCAAATTCGAGTGTATGTAAGAGAGACGTGGGCTCAGCGCTGCACAACTCCCACTGCCTGGTGCATTGCTCTCTCTCTCTCTCTCTCTCTCTTCCTCCCTTTGTGGCTAATCTGTTAAGGCACTCTTATTTTTCAGATGTAGCCTTTTCCCACACGACCTGGAGCAACACTACTTCTGACCTCCTGTAATACCTGAAACTTTCCTTTAGTGTTGCTTCTATGCTAAATGTACTAGACAGAACTAAATTTGGGCCCCTAGACAGAGATTTTAAGCTGTGTTGTTACCATCATTTTTAATTACAGACCTAGTCTTTTATTCCTAACAAAGCAAACATGGTGCTGGATACAAAGTAGAAAATTTTGAAAATCACATTTTCAGTGGAACTATCACAAGAGGTACCCTGTTGGAGAAGTAAGGTAGGCTTCTGACTTGAGAGAGAGATTAAGAGAGAGAGAGCACAAGAGAGAAAGGCTCTGGAGTCAGAAGGGGGTGGAGATTGAGAATTCAAGATCAAGCTTGGACTGTAACAGGCTATTTGCGAAACAATTTCCAAGAGGTATAAAGAGCAAAATGACAAACACAGACCATGGGTGATAAGTAACAGTGGAGTGTCAGAGACAATAGTGCCCCAAATGGCCTGGTTACTTAGAAACATAGTTTTGTTTGTTGATAGCCAGTGACAAGATCTATGATTCATTGAAGTGATACAAAAATCAAACTTGTGGTAGAGACTGTGACAAGCTTTCCACTCTCCATTCTTACCCATTGAACAGAGGTAGAAACAGGAAGGAATGATTCAGTCAAAAATAATCTCAACCTTCCTTTGCAGGAGGGATGAACAAGTGACAAAAGTCAGACCCACTGTATAAAAGAAGGGTAGGACTCTGGGGCTCCTTGTTTGCAAGACAAAGAGAGCAATGAACTTAGCTCGCAGTTCTGTTCCCAAGGCTAAGCTGACACACCTGTGCACACAGGGAGAGCCAGCACTGCAGTGCCCGGTCGGTCAGCATTAGTGACTATGAGGACACATGACCAAAAGGAAGCGGATGATGTTGGCTGTGGTCCTTCTGACATGGGAGGGCTACGTGGAGTGAAGAAGAAAGTGGCAGGGTCCACAGGCAGGATACCCTGCTAGGACACAAGCAAAGATAAGGGGGATTTCCATGGCCCCATGGACAGGGACCAGAAAGCTGAGTCTTGACAACAGGTCGCATTTGTGAAACTTGGAGGGCTGAGAAAGGACTGCACTGCCGCTGACTGACATTAGGGTCTGCTCTGGGTGAGCAGGAAGTTTCTGGTGTAAAGATTTCCTACAATTCCTGCATAACAGAGTGGCAGATCTCAGACCTCAGTGAAGCCCCAGGGCACAAGGTCATTTCCCCAGCTGTCTTTCCCTTGGTGAGAGTTCATAATTGTTCTCATGTGACAGTCACCGGTGTCCACTCTCTATGAGGAGCCTCAGGACTGCCACCTGTAAGAGCTGAGCCATGTGGCACCAGAGCTGGCTTGCTCCTCTGGTCCACGGGGTCTCATTCTAAGACTTCAGCACTCAGGGAACATTTAGAGGATGGGGATTTGTAGGAAAATGTCCACCTGGAGCATTGCTGCTGTTTGTTTTGGTTCCTGAGTCTGATCCACAAATACAGACGGGACTTGGTGTCATTGTCACATCATACCTGAGAAGCTTCCCAGCCTCGGGGCCGTGGCATCTGCACCATCATGAATTTCCAGTGAGTCCCAGTTCTGCTCCGTGGCAAAGCTGATCACTTGAATCTACCAAACCATGGTATCAGGTTAATATTTGCTCATTCACTTTTGGTTTAATCAAACTAATACAATCAGGGGGTGTTTTTCATGATTAAGCTAAATGTCTATCAAAAAAGAAATAATCCATGAAAGGACATACAAAAATCTCCACAAATGACACTACTAATAGTTTTTATTCTAAAAATTTCAACTATTTTATTGCGAATACAGAAAAATGTTTGGGAATTATAGAAACACTAAAGAGAAATAGGTCATGGTCTATGTTATTTAAAATGATTAATATTAAGAGGAAGGAAGGGAGGGAGGGAAAATGAAAGAAAAAAAGGAAGGAATGAAGAGAGAGGAGGGGGAAGAGAGAGAGATAGAGAAGAGAGAGAGAGGAGAGAGAGAGAAAGGAAAATGAAAGAAAGGAAAAAGAAAAAGGAAGGAAGGAATGAAGGAAAGAAAAAGAAAGGGGAAGGAAGGACAAAGGAAGAGAAGGACAGTCCACAGCCCCACTAAGCCCTAGTTTAGACTGTGGACTCAAATGACATACCTGAATTCCTGAGCCCTCCGTGACTACAATCTTCCACACACAGTTCAGGTTGTTGCCATATGGCTCAGGGTAGCCAGGGGACAGAATTGTACCTCTTCGCTGAGTGAAATTGCCACTGCAGGGAACTAAAGGACAGAGCCACATTTAATACAAATTAAATGCACGTGGACTTTGATTCGGTATTAGTTTTATTTTGCTGTTTCACTGGATACTGAGGGGACTTCACCAGTTCTGCTGTAACTGAGATGACATTGTGAGCCAAGGTGGAATCTCGAGTCTTTGTTTGTAAGTTAGCAGTGTCAGTGGTCACGATGTACTGTATACTAAGTTACAGATCTTGAGTCTATAAATAAATCCTTTCAAGTTTTCTAAGGAGGAGCACACCTCTCAATGGTGATCTGTTGAGTGATTACTGACTTGAATTTGAAGGTCATCGCAGAGCCACCCCTTCCATGGACTCCAAATATCGATGGGTTTTGTGAGCAAGTTCAGGAGAAGAGGAGACATTTAAAATCTACAAATGAATTCAAGTGCTATTCCTGACTGCCCTTGAGCTTTCCAGGCAAAATGAAGTGACTGTACCTCGCAATTCCGTGGTTAAACCTGTTCCTTTTCATTCACCAGCACAATGCATTAAGAGGTCATTACAAAAGTAATAGCACACATTTCCATCACAATTATGAGATTATGCCGTATATCCATGATTTCACAGTGAATGGCATGCCCAGTAAATACTGAGAAGAAAAACATGTTTATCCTTATTAATCTGATGAGTTGCTTATGAAACAGTAACTTTAAGGTTTGACTGTTACTCAATTATTTCTGATAAACTAGGTTGCTCTTTGTTATCAGCCAGAGACACAAAGGTTCATTTTATGTAGACTGGATAACACACTGAAAAGAAGCATGCTAAGGCTACTGGGAGGTCCCCCCTGCCCTGGGCCAGTCAGCACACACATGTATTCCACTTACCTACACAGCTTGGGATGGTGTCATTCCACTGGGCCAGGGCATTGGGCACAGACTGACAGCGGATGGCTGTGGAGCCTTGGAGCAGGTATCCTGGGTTACACTCAAATCGAACAATCGAACCTGCCGAGAACTCAGAACCAATTCTTCTTCCGTATCTGGGCTCAGGGACAGAGCTGCACTGGGTGTCACTGGTACGAGGAACAGCTAGAAGCAAAGCACAGACAGCCATATGCGTCTTAATCAGGAAGCCAAGACATTGCCTTGAGAACAGGTATGAGTCGGACAAAAGTGTATCAGTCATGATAAGGGCTGATCTGAGGATTTCCTCCTCACGACAACTTTGGGGACATCTAGTACTCTCACTAAGATGAGAAAAATGGGCAAAGGAGAACTAGCGCCTATGACTGATGGTTAGTATTAAAGCAGGACAAATTAATTCATTGACAAAACAATTGTGCTACTCACAATGAGATGACTAAGAACTTACACTGATCTTCACCACATCACAGTCTAGCAGGGAAAGCCACTCTGATATGGCCAATGTGGCATAATAATAAAAATTAAAAATACAAGTACCATAGGATCTAGCAATCCTAGTTCTGCAAATTTATGCAAAATAATTGAAATCGGAGTCTCAAAAACTTATCTGTGTTTGCTGCAGCATCCTTCACTGCAGCAAAGGCACGGGAATAACCTAAGCAGCCACTGGTGGATGGTTACATGTGGTCCATACACTTACACAGTGGAATTCCCTCCAACTGTACAAAGAAGGCAATTCTGCCACTTCCAGCAGCACCTTGGGACACTGAGCTAAGTGAAATAAGCTGGTCACAGAAGGACAAATACTGCGGATCCCCCTGACAGGAAGGACACTAAGACTGCTGAAGCAGTGCCAGCATGGTTACCAGGAGTGGCGAGGGAACATGGGGCGGTGGTGGTCAACAAGAGTGGAGGTGAAGTTTCAGTTGTGTACATGGAGTAAGTTCTGGAGGTCTGCTGTAAAATGCCATGCCTACACTTAGCAATACTGCATTGTCCAGTTGAAAATTTGTCATGAAGGTAGATTTCCTGTTATTACAATTTAAAAAGACAACAAATGTTACTATGGGAAACACAGAATTAATATATTCATTCTACATGGAGAAACATGGTAGCCAATCGTGCTTCTGGGATGAAAACTCAGTAGAGTTTGATAAGGACGAGGAAAGAAAGGTGGCTGGCATATCCCTGGGCTGAAAGCAAAACCAGTGACAAAGTCCAGGCCATCACCTGTTCTCTAGGGTCTTCCTGAGGCTCAGCAGTGCTCTGTGTTTGATGGTGGGGGTGGGTCATCTGATTTCTTAGTGATAGGATGAATGGATAGCTTAGGAAAGTAAGTCAAATGTTATAATGCTATGCTTTGGAAATGGAAAAAGAAAAAAGAAAACAAGGATTAAGCATCCAAAGACAAAATTCAATACAATGTGGCCTCTGGTAAGAACACCATTCTGCATGAAGGTGGAAGAAGACGAAGCCCACGCCTTCTTGGCACCAACTGCTCTCTATCCATCAGGAGCAGCCTCCAAGACTGCCCTGTGCTTGTGCCTACACCGAGCGATGAAAAAGACCAGAAAAACAAAACCCTCCTGCCTGTTTGACTGTCAGAGTAGAACTTCCCCTCCTGGTGGCTCTTCAGCTCTGATCCTTCTCCCTCCTCAAGAAAAACTTCCAGTGACCAAATGCCATCCCAAGAGTCACATGTCCAGGAAAAACCACATTTGGACTAGTCCTCAAAAAAATCACCTCACCTAGTCCAAATCCCACTCACAGTCCTCCTGGCTCTATTCTGAGACTTCCTATGCTGTCCTCAGTGTTTCTTTGAGATGCAAAGCCTGTTTGGGACATAATGGGAATGTGTCTTCTGGTCCTTTGATGGTGGGTATGGCGAGTGAGTCTTAGTGCAGTCTGAGATGAGACATTTACTTAGGTTGTCTGCTAGAAATGACCACCTAAAGACATTTTCCTGTCGGTTAAGAGGGACAGGGTGTAAAGTTTGAAAACTACTTCAGTTAGCAAAGAAGCCTTCCATGCCAAGCTCTTTGGAAATGGCATTTTGAAGCTTGCATATGTTACTTTTGTCTTCTACAATCAGAGAGAGTGGGGTGAGAGGTCTCCAGGGGCCCATTTTTGTTGCTCCTGTTTCTTCATTCAGAAGGAAAGCCCTTTGACTGAATGCAATCATGTACTCATTTTCTTTAAAAATATTGTTCTGCCTTCGCACTGCTTTTCCTAACACACTAGAGCCCCTGTTTTCAGTTGGATCTGACACTAGTCAGGTAGCTGCTGATAAAAATCCAATTCTGTGAGAATAGAAATCAGAAGATTATTTTGATTAAATTATGCTTCAGCTTAGTACTGAAATATTTTCTATCAGAAGGCAAATGTTAATAAAGTTGAATGTGATCTGCTATATTTATACAGATAAAAAATTAATGATATATCAGAATCAATCTTTTGTGAAACTAAAAGAGGAATGCAGAATAATGTCATATTCTGGCATAATAAAATATTGCTTAAATTGTGTATGCCATATTTTTATGTCTGAAATAAAAATAGATACCCACTAAAGGGTCTAGAATTATTTTACAGATAGTTTTACAAAATGAAATATCGTTGATAATTTAAGTGCTTACATTTAATTACTTGGGGGGGGAAACTTATTTCTGGCAAAGTTTCCACTGTTCTAAGAGGCTTCAAGTATAATTTTGTATAATTTTTGTATAATTTCAGGGAATCCTTGTCATTCTAGGTTCTCAAACATGAGGAGAAACAAAGTCCCAAGCTTTGCTTAGGTAGAAGTTTAACTTTCTTCCTGAACTTCACGGTTGACTGTTTTCAAGGAAAACAACAGAAAATGAATTAACACCTGCACTCAAATACAGTATGGAGAGAGTTTTCCTTCTGAGGAAGGAAATATATACAATGAAACCATCAGCTCTCCCAAAACTTTCCGGGGAACATCAAACACTGTTCTGAAGCTCTCACTGTTAGCCAGTTCCCTAGTTTTTAGTTGTTATTGTTTGGCTTTGGTTTGGTTTCCTTGTTTTTATGGTACTTTGAGACTGGTCTCAATGTTTCGTCCTGGCTGAACTCAAATTCACGATCTCCCTGCCTCAGCTTACCAAGTGCTGGACACACATGGACCACCATGGCTGGCCCGCCAATGCCCTGGCTCTTACTTTTGCCTGGATCATTCAGACAGCATCTGAGAGAAAGACTGTTCTCCACCATAGTTATTGTCTACCTTTAAGCAAAAGATTCATGATGCTGTGAAACAAAATTGAAATCAGTCCAGTGAAAAGTGAGCAGGGACTAGGTCAGCCTGGAACAGAGGTGACAATCACAATGCTTGATTTTGATTTTTGTGCCAGACGGCTGTGCTGCATCAAAGACAGATGATCCTCCCTGGGGTTTTTATAATGCTGAGAGCTCTGCCCTAGGGATGTGTGCACATCTCTGAGGGGACAAATAAGAACTCGAAGTGCAGATTAGTTAGTCATCTCTGTCACCACGAATGCACCACTACAGAGAGGCATGTGTACATCTTTCACTGCACCTGCCTCCGTACATGTGGCTACAACAACAGAAAGCAAAATAAGTCTCAAGTCAGACATGGTGGGTTATGTCTATAATCGTAGCTACTCAGGAGGTACAGATTAGGAGAATGACAGTCCATGGCCAAACCCAGAATTTTTGTGAGACGCCATCTCAACCAATAGCTGGGCGTGGTGGTACCTGCCTGTGATTCTAGCTACACAGGAAGTGTAAATAGGAAGATTGTAGTCCACAGTGGCCTGGGCATAAACTTCGCTCTTTTTGAAAAATAATGAAAGCAAAAAGGGCTGGAGGCATAGCTCAAGGGATAGAGTGTCTGCCTAGCAAGGTCCTAGAGTTAAAACCCTGGTTCTGTTAAAATAAATAAATAAATAAATAAAATTTAAAAATAACAACTAATCTCACAGGGCTCAGGAGTGACTTGTGACAACTTCCTGAGGCAGTTTCCTATTCCCTTTTGTGCCTGGGGGACATTTTTCTATTCTCAAAATCATCCTCCTTGGGGATCTGATTTGACAATCTATCCCCAGTGAAGGAATTAAAAACAAACAACATTGCTGAATTACAAACAGAATTTTGAGACAGAGCCTTGACTTTTGAGAGGAATTGCTGGATGTTCTTGGTAAAACTAGACATTTTATAAGCTCTCGATATAAAGTGTGAGTTCCTTAAAAATGAAAAGCCACCTAAGCTTTACCACCCTTACCACCTAAAGGAGAGCGGCAGGGAGCGGTCAACAAAAGCTTGGATTTGCACCCCAGAGAGGATTTCAAGTGAAGAGACTCAGTGTGAATTCTTCTGCACAAAGAGACCATTCAGGTGTTTCTAGCTCTGCTGTATTTAAGGAGGTCTTTCAATTAACTATGCTAAGCTGGCTGCTAAAGACCCAAGACTTGTCAGTAAGCTGGCTGGGGTACATGCTGTCTCAAGTGTGCAGGGTGTATGCCTCAGGTGTGCCTGGCCACTGGGAAAAGCCACTAAGGTGACAGTGACCCAGTGGCCATGATACAGGGACACACAGAGAGCAGACAAACTCTGCACTGGGGGAGAATGACCAAACATGCTTCCCTTTACCTAGAACCCTGCAGCAAATGCTTACAGCTTGTTAACTTTGCTCTGAGTTATTTGGAGGGAACTGAAAGAAGTGTCCAATTCTGTTACTGAAATCCATAAGAAAAACAGACAGTGGAAATGGCAGACATCCACAGGAGACAATTGAAGATAGCAACTTTGATGAGAAACTCAACCGTCACTTAACTCGGACACCAGCCCTGGGTGTGAGAGAGAAGGCAGTGTGGACGGCCTTTGGCCACGCTGCTGTGAGTTCTATGTGCTTTGTGGTAAGCAGGAAAGTAGAGAAGGAAGTTGATCCCATATGGCCAGTCTTGGGTGCCAAATGAACTGATTCTAGTGTTGAAAGGCATGCACTGTGAGCCAGAATAAATTTCTAGATGCAAAGCAATGACTTCGTAGAACAGAATCACAGCTCTCTCCTAACACTGGAGTAAGTAGAGGTTGCTGGACTTACTACGAAATGGTGTGTGTGACTTTTCACATTTGCATTGACCTACATTGGTCTTCAGTGTGACGTCTTCTGTGGAACGTGAAGACCACTAGGGCTGTATAAACATATCTCCTCCCTGAAGGCTGTGCCAGGCAGGGGCTGACAGTAAAAGGGGTGGGGAGTGGAGAAAGTGGGGGGAGGCTGTAGGAGTCCGCTCCAGCGTGAACTCCCAGGAAATTCTTAGAGCCAGGAGACAGGTTCAGAAAATCTGCTGCTTGATATCTATGAAGAAATGACAAAGCTGAACAAGTTCAATGCGGGTTCAAAAGGAGAACTTTTAGTGCCATTTTAGACATCCTCCTGCTTCAGGACGAGAACAGTCAGAATGGTTCCCATGACAGGTTCTTATGGTAGCTTTTGCTTCTCAGTTCTGTGTGACTACTGGGTAGCTGAGGACACTGACTCAGAGGTGATGTAGGGCTGGAATGTTGGGTGGGTAATGCGGTGCTGGGGTGATGCCTGAGCTCAGCTGTTTGAATGTTCAGTTATCACTGCACGAGATGGTGACATGAGGTCGCCAACATTAGCCTCCACAGCATCCTCACGTAACTGGAGGCCAGTGAGCTGGACAGACTCCACTCCCCACAGAAGCTCCTGAGTGTTTTCAACAGTATACAACAGAGGTCAAACACAGTCCTCCCAGGGGCTGACCTGCCATGGATGATCAAAGCTGAAGAGCTACTTAGAAACTTTATTGTAAAGGTCATTTGCTCTTACTTAGCCTTCTCTGGGGTGCTCCAAGTCCTAATGTCCACTCTTTCTTCCATCTTGCTTTGCACACATAGCTGCCTACTCTCAGGGATTGTGAGAAACAGGCAAAAAAACAAAGCCAGGAAAACAATGAAGTAATTAACAAAATTCCCAAAAGGCCTATATAAACTTCCATCTCTCCACAAGGTTGGAAACTGGGAACATCTTTGCTATGACTTCCAAACAGAAGTTGTGGAAGAAGTTGGGGTGGGGAACACAGAGCTCCAGCCCACCATCTTGACACACCAGGCATCACATGCACTGATCTGCACTCTGATCTGCTACCTTTGGTTGTCACTGACATCTTCCTGAAGCTCTTCATAATGGAATTTTCTGTCTGTTAACAAGGGTTAGGCATCCTTTAACCATGGAAGCCAGAAAATCGCTGTGCAATTTTAACCTTTAAGAACTTAGGAAAGAATGAAGCTGTAAGTTGCCTAGGACAGCACTGGTCAGAAAGTTTTTCATACAATAGGACTCAAATAATTTCTAGGCTTCAATATAACTACGGTCTTTCAAGAACCAATGTTCAATTTAACTTTCCCTGTGTGCTGAAAACTTTCCTGGCTGCTTTTGAGTGATTCATACACTGAATTCATAATCCTCCAAAGGATTTAGACATTGATTTTTGCAATAACTCACTAGCAGAAAGCAAGAAAAGGAGCTACATTGGGACTTTATAAAACATTGGAGATGTTAGAGTCATCATATATTCTTAAGTACAAGGAAAATAGATCCCGTCTACAAATACTACATCTCTGTACTTTTACACATTTTAAAGCTAATACGTAATTTTAACTAAAAAAACAATTTTTAAAAACATATCACCTGAGGATAACATCTGAAGATAGATCAGATCTTCCTATCTGATCAATGGATCTACTCTTTATCAAAAATCAGAGGAAGTCCCTTAGAAACTCAGACAATTCTCACAAGTTCAATTTTTTCTCCCACTGGCAACTTAATTTCCTGGAGGCAAAATGCACTTTAATCAATCAGTGCAGTTTCTTTACAAGTACCCTCTGAATTTTGGTTTGCGGATCTGCTTTTGGAATGTAATTTAGAATTTATCTGAGGAAAGTTAGGAGTGGTAAGAGGCAGGTTGCTTAAACTTGCCACTGTCTAACAATGTCAGTTTTTAGAAAGAGTGGGTAATTATTTACATTTTAGCAAAGCTATGCTTGTAACAATGTAACTACTTTTTTCTATATAGTACATGCATATATATATAGATATATAGATAGATTCTATTCAACACATATATACATATGCATCTCTCCATCCACCCTCCCCACCTCACAAGTGCCCCTGTATACAGTGTTCTTATTGTATGGTCCTGTGTTTCCTGTTGATTCCAAAGTCAGTGCTGATGCAACCACTTTTAATTTGATGACTTCTCATTCAACCAATGGCTCCTGGAGAGTGACTGGAAAGATTTTTGCTCCTACTCTCCGCACACATTCTCGTTCTGTTACTCTTTAATTAATTTTATTGCGGAAAACTGAAGCTTTAAGTAGTGAAATATTTTGAGGGGTGTGGCTTTTGCAAGGTGAGATGATGAGGCATGATTTACAAATGATGTGAGACCACAACTCTTCATCATTTTAATAGCATTAACATAATCAAGGATGCTTCCTAGAGAAGCCTTTATTAAAGAAAAGAAGGGAATGCTAAACCTACTTTCCCTCCAGTTGTGAGGAAAATATTTTGGCATGGTTGGTAGTCTGTGTAACTAAAGCAAAACTTTATGCACAGAAAGGCTAATGCAGCTCCTTGTGTTGGAACACTGCTGGCCAATGAGACGATGGCCTTCCCAGGTCCCCTCTGCAGTCACCTCACGCTGGGCTTCCATCAGCTTGTGCATGGTCTTCAGTGGTGCTTTTCTGACATTTGCACAGGGAATGTGCAAAACGAAGGTGAATTACAGGAAGGAAAGAACTTCATTTTCACAACTTTTAAACAATTGCTAACTAATGTTAGATAAGTTCAGATTAAAAAATGTGTATCAAGGTACAGAAAGCGCTAAAAGTTAATGAAACACGGAGTGAAGGTAGAATGGTAGAAGTCTTGTTTGTGTTCTGTATGGATTTTTAGTTATTATTTTTTGCAGTGAAATGCAAGATAATATAATACATTTTAAATGTATTTCATTAAAGCAGTTACAAACCATCATGAAACAGTTTACTTAATTAGACAGAATATTCTATTTGTCAAAATTTTGCAAGGTGTGCAGCATTAAACCAAGATAGTTTGATCAACATCTGTTTTCTTAGAGATCTGGATAAATACAGTATCACATCTTTGAAAGAGAAATAGCAAATCCGAGTGTGAAAGAGCAACCAATATTTCATATTAAACAATTTCATCATACATACACAAATATTCTCAATTTCTTAGATAACATGAAGTAAAACTCAGACACTTGAGTGACTTGTGTGCAAACAGCTATACCTAGAGATCAAGGGGCAGGCTGGTGACCCTACCTTGGTAGACGAAGTGGAACCCCCTGGCGGACGCCCCACTCTTGGCGCTGAAACGGAGCAGAATTTGATTGGATGTTGCGAGAGGCAATGTTTCACCTAGAAACAGAACAGAGGGGTCACATGGCATCCACATGTGATGAGTGACAGCATCCTGGAAAATAAGTATTAACTTGAACTTCCACGAAGAATTTTTGAACTTCAAAAAGATTCCATTTGGATGTTTAAGACCCAAATATAATTGTTTTGGGAAGATTTTAAAGCTTCACGCTTCCTGCACACTCTGTTAAAATGGATTGCAATTATTATTTCATTTATGCTTTATTTGAAAAAGCATGAACGGTCCTTTCAGTTGATCACACCAAAGATGCAAGTATCGGATGAGCTAATTACTAGGAGTCATGTTAGTTTGATCACTGCTAACTGGAATTTCATTTCTAATTAGGAATATTGTTTTGAATCTAGAGCTGATTTTTAAAGAGTGAAGGATTCAGAACAGGCCTTCTGGAATAACTTTTAACTCATACAGGAAGGGTCTCTCTCAACAGGGCTGAGGATGGTGAAACTGGCTAAAGTTTCTGCGGGAGAAATTGTTACTATGCATCAGAATTTCACTGCCTGACTTCTGGTTCATCATAGAACACTGATGGAGACAAGCACAGTTAGCTCTTAACATTTTTGGTGAATCAGGAAATAGTGAGAAACAGAAAATAATTCAGTCTTAACTTTCATTGGCCAAGGTCTGGGAACCACTTAAATTTATTGTTAAATGACTTAGAAATATACCAAATTTGCTTACTAAACCACAAAAAGGTAGCGTAGTTCAAATAAGGGCCACATCACTGATGGCGTGTATTAAATATTTGGCTGTGTTAATCCAGCAATCTCAGGTCCCTGGGAATCTCCTGGGATGTATTCCAGGCCCCTCCCCTGGGTTTAAAGTCTGTGGATTCTCAGCATATGTGTGCATGTCTGGGTCTGAAATGATTTAGGGCAAAAAATGTTAAGTGCTTTTATCTCCAGCAGGGAGATGAAGACACTTAGAACAGGAAAAAACTACAGAGAGTGTGTTATCACCTCTTCTTCTTTCACTGATATTTGCTCCTTTTATTGAGACAAATACTACACTTTCGCAATCTTAGTGAATAAAATGATAAAGCAGGTGTTATATATAGGATAAAACTACTTCTAAAATCTTGCATCTAAAATAAGACCTTGCAAAACACACTTGGAAATTCAAAGACGATTAAACTTATCATTCATCAAAAGAGAGAGATAGATAGAGAGAGAGAGAGAGAGAGAGAAGATTAAAGTTACTCTCCATGGCTGTCCAGTGGAAGTAAAGACTAAGTCCTGTGAATCGTACCTGAATGAGAGCCCGAGAGGGAACTCAGGAGCCTGGCCTGAGGGTGCGCTCCATCAAACAACTCAGCCAGGTCACTCAGCGCAGTCTGGAAGTAGGCGAACTGCCCAAACACCACTGGACACCAGGGGTACGATTTCCAGGGGAAGCAAGAGAGTTTGGTCAGATTGTATATTTGTTAGGGCCCTCAGGGACCAATGCCTTAAGCAAAATAAATATGAATTTGTTTTCTCTGCCTTCTGAGATTTCAAGGATTAAAGAAGTTTACTTCACTTCTTGTTCTTTTAATAAAAAGAGGAACGTTATTATTTTCTGTGTAACTTGAACATGAAAGACTTTTTCCTTTTCATAAATACTAAATAATATAGTAGAAGCATTACCTAATCTTATCTATAAGGGCATCCTATCTAATTTTGAGTGACATTTTATTCCATGAAAAATAAGCTTTGTGTGGACCAAAATGCATGACACTTTAGAGAGAAATCTGGAAGTCATCAGAATTATTGTAACATTTAGTTCATATTAACTCACACACACTTGAGTCAGTGTTCAGTACACTGCAGGGCCTGTTTATCATTTTCCCGTTCTGCTATTTTATTTACCGAATTTCTCATGCAATCTGTGCAAACATCCTTTCTCCAGTTAAACCATATCTACATACTTTGCCATCCAAATCCAACATGTCTGTGTGCCCAAATTGATGACACGGGCCTTTATGACACTTAGAAAAACAATGATTTAGAAGTTATTGATAAGCAGGAGCAACTCATCCTTCACTTAGTCATGTGTCAGGGTTGCTAAAATGTCATTCTAAATCATTTTGAACAAGGAATGGAGGTGTAATGTTGGTTTTTTGTGTCAGAATTCTAGTGGAAAAAGCTAACTGGTTAGTTTTTTAACAGAATATGATGTTTGTGCCACTAAACCTTGTAGGCTGGGGAATTATAGTCAGTGTTAAGATGGGGCTGTGGCTTTTTCTGCCTCCAAATTATTGCTGCATTGTGATATGTAGCAATAATATGTAGCAACATTTAATAATGTGACATGTAGCAGCATTTCATAATAAGCCACAATCCTAGACGGTAACTGGATTCTATTCTACTCTAAATATACTTTGTCCTGAATGCAGAAAGCAATAAGAGTAGTTGTGATATGGAAATGGGAAGTGCTGAGCATTTTTTTTTCATTTTTCTTTTATTATTCATATGTGCATACAAGGCTTGGTTCATTTCTCCCCCCTGCCCCCACCCTCCCTTAACCACCACCATTCCGCCCCCTCCTCTCCCCCCCCCCAATACCCAGCAGAAACTATTTGCCCTTATTCTAATTTTGTTGTAGAGAGAGTAAAGCAATAATAGGAAGGAACAAGGGTTTTTTGCTGGTTGAAGATAAGGATAGCTAATATACAGGGAGTTGACTCACATTGATTTCCCTGTGCGGTGGGTGTTACCTTCTAGGTTAATTCTTTTTGATCTGACCTTTTCTCTAGTACCTGTTCCCCTTTTCCTATTGGCCTCAGTTGCTTTTAAGGTATCTGCTTTAGTTTCTCTGCATTAAGGGCAACAAATGCTAGCTAGTTTTTTAGGTGTCTTACCTATCCTCACCCCTTGCTGAGCATTTAAGTTAAAAAAAATGTATCCCCTTCAAAGACAGAATCAAAGGTGAGGCTGAACAAGGGAGTTCAGAAAACTTGACCTGCTTAGAGTTGGCATTAGCAAGGTTGTGAGGACTGTCATCCAGCTGCTAGAAGCACAGGAACCCTCCAGTCCCCCTTTGATTTCTCAATGAAGTCTTTCTTACCATCTTCTGCAGAGAGTTCTGTGCATCTGTTCAGCCCCTGGGAAGCTTGTCCCTCTGACTTCAAGTCTCAGGTTACCACCCTCCTTGTCACAAAGCAAGAGAGCACTAGCCCCACCCTAAAACTCCATCTCCCTTGAGAAGGACCCAGGTTAGCAGCTGAATGGATAGCAGACCAGTGAAGTGCACCACAGAGGGTGGGAGGGCTCGTGAGCAGTGGGCATCCCACAGGCTGGATTAAATGCTCTCAGATGCCTGGGGAATGTGCCTCCCACGTGTAAGTTTCTTTTCTCTCTCTCTTTGCCATACTGGGTTTGAACTCAGGGCCCTGTGCTTGCTACACTTGAGCCACACACCCACCAACCCCCTTTTTTTTTTTTTTTTTTTGAGACAGCCTATAGCCCAGGCTGTTCTTGAACTTGCTTCGCAGCTGAAGCTGCTCTTGAACTTAAGAACCTCTTGTTTCTACCCCCTCCCCCAATACTAGGATTACAAGTGTGAGCCACCATGCCAGATCCCATATGCAAGCTTTTAAAAATGTTTTACAGCAACTGCATTCTTTTTATGTGCTTCATTTCTGAGTGGGTGACTGCTGACTTAATGTAAAGAAAAACCCTGATTATGTGCGGCTTTTCATTTCCCGTTGGAAAAACAGCAATAGGCTACAAGATTATAAAAGCTATCATGGAAGAGGAAATCTTCCTGGTTAGGAGCGAGAGTGACCACTGTGAAAGCAGAGTGACCAGGAGCTCTGTGACAAACAGAAGCTCGTGTGCAGCCCAGCTCAGAATTAGCATCCCTTCTAAAGCCACCACCAAGTCCCGCGTCTGGAGAAGCAGAATTCTGCCCCATGATTCTGGATGGAGATCCTGGAAGGGAAGGGAAGGGAAGGGAAGAGAAAGGAAGCACTGCACTTTTCAGGGTAAAGACCCTGGTGACCACTATTGGGATGGAGAGGGGGAACTTGCTGCTTCTACATGATTCTATGAAGAGCTGGGGTTTTTATCAAATGACAGAAAAAAAGCACTGGAAGAACATGACAATGGATTAAAAATAACAACTATTCTTACCAAATTCCTTTGGCACGGTTATGGAGTAGAGGCATATCTGGCCAGCGGTGTAGTTGTGTGGGTAGTTGGGAGATAAAACAACCCCTTCGGATCCCGTGTACTGGCCTCCACAGGGAGCTGCAAAGCAAACCAGCCAAGAATCACGAGCTGTCAATCATGGAGCAGCAGTGACAGGTGTCTGGATGGGACAGCTCACCTCCCCCCTCTGCTTACCCAACACTAAGAGTACGCTCAAGTTAAAATCTCGCTCTGCAGTGTTTCCAAGCGTGATAATGTGTGTAAAAAGATTTACCACATTAAACAAAAACTTTTCAACTTAGAATAGGAGCTAATATTATTTTCAAAACCTGCCTTAGCTATGTCCAGATATGAAAGCAGTGATGATAATAACAGAACTCATCCAACAAAGACAAATAATTACACGGCTCTAAAAGGCTTCATATCAATCATCATATTAATTTAAAAGATATAACAGCCTGTTTATGCTTTCTCTGGCTGTTATGCTGATATGAAGTGAAAAGAAAAAGCCGTGTTTTCATTTTTAGGTGTCGTTTGTCTTAACTGTGTATCTCAGAGATCTGGTGAAAGAGTCGCTAGACAGGCTCTGCATGTCTCTCCACAAGTTCAGTTTGAAACCGTGGCTGGAAGGTCAGAGCAGAAAAAAAGGATGGAGAATAACAGAGAGCTCAGCATGCGTGTGCCCGGGTGTAGGATGTGTGCACATCCGTGTGAGTGCATGTGTGTACATGTGTGTATGGTGAGTGCCTGTGTGTGTGCAGGGTGCATGCGTGTGGCTGTGTGTACCCACGTATCTGTGTATATGCATGTGTGTATGTGGGTAGAGTGTATATATGTGGCTGTGTGTATACCTATGCATCTGTGTGTGTGCACGTGTATGTGTGGTTGCGTGTGCACACATGTATTTCTGTGTGTGTATCCTGATTTCCTGCAATTACCTGACTGGCTTTGGCGCTGCTTCTGCTGAGAAACAGGCGAATAAATGTGCAGCGGGAGCACTGCAATGCGCTAAGCTTTGTGAAACAACAGGCGTCCGACAGGCGTCCAACTACAGCCAGCACTGTGTGCTCAGCTTTGAACTACGTCACGACAGACACAGTGTGACGCCAGGTGGGTTGAGACACTGCTGGGACAGGGTGACTCTGCCCCAACCCCTCAGTCCCCGTTTCCCCACTGTGCGTGGTCTCACCACTCCTCATCTGGGACACCACTGACGAGAGTTCAGAGTCATCCTCTGTATTTTAAAGTTTGTATTGCTTTCTTTTTTAAATTATAAATATTAACTAACATTAATTGTAGAAATTGACGTGTTCCCTGTGACATACATGCATACATCAGCCACCCTGCCATCTACCCTCCTTGACCTCTTCCTCCTCTCCCGGTTCCCCTTCTAGTTCCCATATTTCTATAGCACCTTTATTCTTGATGCAATTTTCAAAAACTAAAAAAAAAGAAATTAGTGAAGCACATTTAATCCTTGAATGTTAACTAGCACACTATTAAGTCTTCATTGACAAATAGAATATTCTAGAGGATGGATCAAACTCCCAGACACAGTAGTGCTAACAGGAAGGCCCCTCACTCATGATTTGCCACCAACTTCCCTGGTCCTTGTGTGACAATGGGTGGCAAACATAAGTCACATTCTTCAAGTCAGAGGACAACAGCTGAGACACCTGACAGCCCTCAGCCATTCGTGAGCTGCTGGTAGAGAGTTTACTTAACTGAGTGCGGTTTTTACGCTAATGGTTTAACTCAGAATAACTTTATTGTTCCAAGACACCTACACTGACTCCTTTACAACTTTAACAGGAAATGTTCTTTTTACTTTCAGATGCAGGACAATTCTACAAGCTAATTTTCAAAGCGGAGGTGTGTAAGAGATGCCAGGCCTCACTCTGCTGTGTAGATAATATCACCCGGTTTTATTTCCTCTCCACCTGCATCCATAACCCCTCAGTCTTATTTCCTCCTCAACCGTACAAATTCAACCTGGGTACTCCAGAACAATCTGCTCCTTTCTCCTGAGAAGATTAAAGATCAAAGCTCTAAAAATAAGTGTAAATAAAAGATGGAAATTCACTTTCTTTTAGCCCTGTCATATAAATTTCAAGCAGACCATTTTGCAAAAATAACCCTTTTCCAGCTAAAAATAATTCATCTATTTCAAATTTTACATTAAAGTATAAGTGAAAAGTAGAAAAATTCATCTCTGGTCCAACATTTTGATAGCTGACTTATTACAAATAAGAAACTTATTCTATCAAGGACATTTTGTGATGCATTTTTTCAGCTACACCTACAAAGACTTACTTGTCCAGGGGTCGAATCAAAGAGCATTGCTTGGTGATAAAATAGAATCTTTAAGAAGGTCAAAGGTGAAATGAAAGGAAACTGGCCTTCTGCCCTTTTACCAGCATGATGAAGGACAGGCATGCCGGGATGCTCTTCCTCAGACTTAAGTGACAGCAGCCACACTGCAGAAGACGTCCCACAGAGACTCAAATGATTTTGAAACTGAGAAAACTAGGTAGAGATTTTTATCGAATTCTTAAGTATTATTTTGTCCACAAAAAATTGAAAGTGTTGCTTTGGGGGAAAAATGACACAGTCATAAAAAAATACATGTATTTTGGGGGAGGCAGTGATACTGGGGATTGAACTCAGGACCTCGCACTTGCTAGGCAAATGCTCTGCCACCTGAGTACCACCCCCTACCAGTCCTTTTTGCTTTAGATTTTTAATTTTTTTCAGTGAGCGTCTTGTGCTTTTACTCATGGCTGGCCTGCACTGGAGTCCTACTTAGGCCTCCCGCATAGTAGGGATGACAGGCATGGGCCACCATGACTGGCTTCAAAAATCTACCTTAACCTCTTTCTCTCCATCCCCTTTCCTCTCTTTCTTTAGATATCTATCAATTGATCTGTACTCAAGAGAAAAGCACCTACAAAATGTTAATTCATATCTCCTATTAGATCAGATCTAAACTACCCAAAACCAGGAGCTAAAATTCTCAAGCTACGTAAAACAAAACCAATTCCCCTTCTAGAACAGATGACAATAGCTAATATACCAGCTAAAATAAGTGACGAAGGCCTGTCAATACTGACTCCACAATAATTCTGTGAGCAAGCCTCACCATGGGCATGGTCACAGGATTGCAGTACTGGGGTGGGAAACCCTTTTCTAGAGTGAGTGCATTGGGAAGAGAGGAAGGAATGGAGGGAGGAAGGGAGGGAGGGAGGAAGGAAGGGAGGGAGGAAGGAAGGAAGGAAGGAAAGGAGGGAGGAAGGAAGGAAGGGAGGAAGGAAGGAAGGGAGGGAGGGAGGGAGGAAGGGAGGGAGGGAGGGAGGGAGGGAGGAGGGAGGGAGGGAGGGAGGGAGGGAGGAAGGGAGGGAGGGAGGGAGGGAGGGAGGGAGGGAGGGAGAGGGAGGGAGGGAGGGAGGGGGAGGAAGGGAGGGAGGGAGGGAGGGAGGGAGGAAGGGAGGGAGGGAGGAAGGGAGGGAGGGAGGAAGGGAGGGAGGGAGAGAGGAAGGGAGGAAGGGAGGGAGGGAGGAGGGAGGGAGGGAGGGAGGGAGGGAGGAAGGTAGGAGGAAGGAAGCCCTGTATTGAAGCAGTGGGATGCACCATTGCAGGTGGGCAGCATGTGGCTCCAGGAGGGCTTCCCATCGGCCCCGATGACACATGTGATGGAAGAAGGGTCCTCGATCTTGTAGCCAGAGTCACACTGGTAGGTGACCGTGGAGCCCAATTTGAAGTCCATTCCAATCCTTGTCCCGTTCATTATGTTCCCAGGGTCAAAGCAAGCTTCCCGGGGTTTCTCTGTAGAAAAAGTGAACATGATTGCTTGGAGGGAGCTTTCTAAATAGGTTTTTGTTTGTTTGTGTGTTGGCTTATTTTATTTAGGGCTTTACACTGTGACCTTCATATGAAAATTACTCAAAAATATTTTTGATTGGGTAATGACTGAATTGCTCTATTAATTAAATAAAAATAGGTAATTTATCTTTAATAAATTATATATTTTTTGTTTTAAACCACACTTTACTATAGAATTGCTATCAGTCATTTTCATTTAGGCAAAATTATACCATATTACATTTTAATACTTTTGCCCCTTTCAGCCATGGATTTTGATAATGTATTCATTACCAAATTGATTCAAGAAGACTCGAGGTTCTTTTTTTAACTTTTGTACTTTAGTCATGCAAACACAAATCACCCCACAGCTTTAGGATGAGGTGGGAGAACATGGCTTTGCGAAAGGAAGATGTTTGATTTGTGAATGTTCACAGCACTTTTTCAGTGATGACACTAGACTTGGAACACGAATGTGGAAGGGTGTCCTGATGCCTACTGCTGTCTGCACTGTTGAGTACAGGAGATGTCAACCACAGCAGCAAAACAGATGTATTGATTGGCAGGTATCAATAATGGTGTCTTGCATGTCCAGTCACCCCACAGTTTTATCCTCATTGTGGTAAGTGATGAGACCCATTGAAGGTCTACCGTGCACCATCATGAATGCTCACCTTCTCCCGACTTCCCAGGAATCTGAAGTACAGACAAGTCAAGTAATTCCCACAAAGACACCACATAGAGACCTGTCCATCCCAGGGTACTAGAGAAAACATCCAGTCTTGACTTCACTAAACTCTATCTGTCCCAAATACAAATACAAGATGGGATTTTTCCCCCTCAGTTTTGTTGTTATGCAGTTAACTTCAGTTATCTTCTGGTTGCATTAATATTTTAAAATTCCTATTTCAATAGACCTTCCAAAGCACCACTAAGGTGAGTGAAGATGTGTACATATCCTTATGTACTTGGCTTTTGAATCGTGTTTTGTTTATACACATCAACATCCTTCCCCAGCATGAGAGTTCCTAGTGACTCCAGAAACCTCTGGAGTTGAACTTTACAGACCTTCTGGTGGTTGATGTGGAAGTTATACTTCACTTTTTAACTTGAAGCTATGAAAATCTATTTGGTTGTGTGTGTCTGTGAGGATAATAACGCAGTTGTGAGTAGACGTGGGTAGAAGTAAGTGTTTCGGTTCTTTTCCTTTTGGTGTTTCCAATCTTATCCACAGCTAACATTCAGGAATGCTAAATCCTCTACCCATTGTAGAAAATCAGCGCCAATCATAGCCATGCAATAATCTCTGGGAAACATAAGTGAAGACTGAATTTCATTGCTTTGCTGGGGCCAATATTAGTTAAAGTGCTTTCGTTTCTCCCTCTTGGTGGTCTACATCACCGCCACCACTGAATGCAGACATTCCACAAGCAGGTCTCAAGAGGAAGATGGTAGCAGGCGTACCTGGAAGAAGAACGAGGCACAGTTTTGGGGACCCTGCATGATATCATCCTCCCAGGCCTGGATAAGGTAGAGTAGAAGAGGAAAAAAGCAAACAAACACACCGCTCCTTGGGAAATCCCACAGGAAGCAGAGAAGGCCTGTGTCACTGGGATTTTAGTATTTCTAGCTATCTTTTTAACAATCTATGGATCAACGTCAGCTCAAGAGAGCTTTCTGGCAATTGTTCACTTAATCTAACTATCTGTTATTCCTAAAAGGTGGCTGCACCTACTAACCTGTTATAATTATTTTTTATATTTAATGAGGTATGGTCTACTTGCTTTCTTCAACTACATAGATGTAACTATGGAAACCTTTCCAATGGCCTGTATTTTGCTACTGTCAGTCTCTCTGCAAGGGCGCTGTGCTGGGTGGAGATCAGCGCTCTCTTATTTGCTATGTTGAAAACCTCTTTGGTGGCTGGGGCTGTAGCTCAGTGGTTGAGTGTTTGCCTAGCATTCATGAGTCCCTGAGTTCAAGCCCCATTACTATGAGGGGAAAAAATCAAAACGATTTGGATGTTTTAAGTGGTAGCTGACATTTTCATAATTCTTTGGAGTGGCCTTAATTCCCATACAGAGCACAAAACATTTACTTTAAACACATAGAGGAGCAAAAATTAAAATGGTGGGATCTGCACCGTTATTTCTTTCCGTTGTTTAATCAGTCATTCAGCAAATGTGCCAAGCTTCTTGTGCAAAGCACTGGTCTCTGTCCTCATTTACTTCACCACTAAAAACTGAGCATTTTCTCAGTGTGTGTCTGTCAGGCTATATCCATGGCCTCTCATCCTTTTTGATCACCTATTGTTTCAGCCTCTTTTAGCTTAGTCCACGGTTTGGTGAAAAGGTGCTTATGCAGCCTCCTACTTCACACCATGGATTTAGAGTTGGGAGGCAGGCGTTCCTCCCAGTGAGCCTTGCCTAATCTGTTGGTTCCATTGACAGTTGGGGATGCTCAGTGATAAATCACCGGTCCTTCTTCTGCTCACAGTCTGACAGGTTTCCTAATGAGATGACTTCATAACAATGTGTTTTGCCATCATTCATGTCTGTTCTACCTAAGAATACCTTCCGACCTTGGGGTCTGAATAGACATGGGCCAGGTCCCTGGGGTGGCTGCAAAGCATGACTGCCCCATGCCCCTCCTGTTCTCATGGCATCTAACTATGGATTCTCGCTGCCCCTGGGGCTCGCCCGGGGATATGGGAGCTCCATGCTGCTCTTCCCTGGGATGTTTTCCCATGGACCCCAGAGGAGAACTCTGCAACCCTGAGGAGCTACAGCCCCTACTTAGATGGCTGCTGTGGTTGCAAAGAGCCCAGCTGGAAAACAGGTAGCGTTTTCCTCCAGTCACTTGCCCGTCACTCTCTGTGCCCTTCATCCACTGGACCCAGAATGACCTAGAATGCCAGGGAACACACAGGGGCTCCAGCAGGCCAGGTCAGTCCTCCTCCTGATGTGAGTTCCCTTGTTTGTTTGTTCACTTGTTTGGGCTTGTTGTGGTTTTGGTGATCATAGAATAGGCCAGGCATGGTGAAGAACCCTTCAGTGACGCTATGCAAATGCTGTTTGTCACTATTTATAAACATGGCAGCTTCCACCCAAACACAGGATCCTCCTCTGGTTGCTGAGTTGTATGACGTTTTTATTGCGCATTTACATAAAGACCCCCTAAATTCACAAATTTTGATGTTTTGGGAGAAAGATTAATTTTCTACTTAAATCCATATAAAGAAATACAAATCCATTAAAGAGGTAAAAGATAAAATGTATCCTCTAAAGCCAGGCTTGATATCACACTGTGGGAGGCAGAGCCAGGAAGATCATGAGTTCAAGGTCACCCTGAGGTATAGAGAGAGCTCAAGGTCAGCCTGAGCTCCACAGTGTGACCCTGTTTCAAAGGAACAAGTAAAAACACATCCTCTATTTTATTTACAATTTTCTCTACAAACTGAACTCAAAAGTTTAAATAAATATAAGTAATTCCACTGAAATTTGATAAAACACTCATCGCCGTAAAGTGGTATTTTGATAAATCCTCTTTCTCATTCTATGTGTTATACTTTGTATTTTCCTTGTTCACACAAGAAATGGATTTGAAAAACAAATATTTGTTTTCATGGGCTCAGTCACTTAGGGAGGATTTGTGCATGGCTTTGTTTTTCTTGGATATAACTGGCAGGGCAAGGTGGATTTCAAACCCAGGTCTGCCCGGTCACAGCTGTCATAAAGACAACGCCCTTAGGTGAGGGGACGGAAGGGACAATAGATAGCTTCACAGTGAGAATAGTGAGGCAACACTAAGCCATTCAGATGTACTTAAATTCAGACATTCTAAAGAAAGAACTCAGAAGATGTGAAAGTGCATCTTGAAATGATTCTTAAACATCACTGCATTATTAACGCACAATAATTTATTTCCAAATGGCTATAAATTTGGGAGGTAAATTCCCTATCCCCTTTTCCACAGCTGAAGTGGAAATGTGTCTCTGGAATTTTTTCTTCACTAGAGAGGTGGGACTCTCTTCCTCATCTAGGGGAGATATATGACAGCAATGAACGTGTTTGGCAGATATGCAAAACGTCATAAAATAATGTTAACAGCTAAAATAGTCCTGTTGATGTTTCACACAAACACAGTTCATTGAAATACCTTTAAATTCAATGGCGAACCCCGATAAGCCCACAGAAGCATCACTCCGAAATGCCAGGAAAAGGCGATTTCCACTGCTCTCGATTCTTTCTGGAGCTTGGGAGCCCTGGAAACTCCCAATTAGAGGGCTGTTGGAGTCCTCCCCTTCGTAGATGTGTAGGAAGTCATAGCTGGGCTCCATATTGAAACTGAAAGGCAAGAATACATGCGATAGGATACACTCAACACACACCTGCCTCACTGTCCAGAGATGAAGTCTTTGCGAGCACAAAGCATTTTCCTTTGCTTCTTTATAATAATTTTAATAACTAGGACAATCAAAACATTGGTTATAATGATAGTCAAAATGTTAAAATAGCAACATCAATTGTAATAAATATGATTGGTGTTTTGAATAATGACAATGATACTTACAACACAATTTCCAAGGTAGTGAAAAGGAAACGAATCATAAGAGCACAGGTATTATATTCTTTCCCTGTTCCCATGAATTTGCTAATGAGATACAGTTCAAAGAACGAGGCTCAAAAGGAGTGAATTCCCACTAAGATTTGATTTTTATGTGAACACTGTTTCAAATATACATATATGCTTGGTATATTCTGAAAGTTTTGTAAAGTTTTCCTTTCTTTATTTTGTCTTTAAAAATGTAATTGTCTCATGATAAATCAGCCAATGGTAGATATTTACAGTGGCAAACGAGGGTTAACATCTTCACATTAAGCACAACCACATTGGATATGCCAATTCTCTCTGTCTTGGGTTCTCTCTCTCTCTCTCTCTCTCGATATGTCTGTTTCTCTCTCTCTCTCTCTCTCTCTCTGTCTCTCTCTTCTTTTCTAATATAATACAGTCAACCCTCTGGACTCTTTCTTCATTTTTGTGATGTGCTGGCTGACTTGTCTGTGAGCTTTAAACACAGGCATTTTCCCAAGAGATACTGGGGTGGCCAGATGTGTCTAAGAGCTCGCTGTGGTCAGGGCCAATTAACGCATTAGAAGTTGGTTTGAAGTGGCTGTGTTGGCCAGCCCTGTCCTCTTCCTCCCTCTCTATGTTGGGTCCCGGTGTCTTTGACAAAGACTCGATGCTGGCAGCACCCACTCTCTTTCCTGTTTGAGGCAGAAACTTTTGGCAACTGGGACAGAAAGAGTTTTTGTAATTGCCAAGGGATTATCAGGAATGGCAGGTGTCTCCCCATGTGTCCACTGCATCCTGATAGGCACAAGAGAACTTGGGAGCACACACCCCACCCTGCGCAGTGCATCTCCTGCAGGTTAAGGCTGTATTCACTCTAGCATGACATCCCTGCACACACTGACTCAAGGAAGTTGCATCAGGTTTCTTAATGTTTGTTTGCAAGTCCACTGAGATCAGAATAAGAGCGAAGGAAGGGACTTACTAAGTTTAGGAAGCTACTAGTAGGAATTGTATCCACTGAGTGGAACTTTATGGGGTAGTAAAATTCTACAGATTATTTATTGAACACTGAAAATACAATGTTACACAGAAAAAGCCATATTTTGCCTGGTCTTCCTTTTTAAATATACCATAGTTCATGCATAGAAGTCTGGAGTTAAATCTATAATTATAATGGCTCCCTTTCTTACGACCTTTCTTATTTCTATCTCTGATAGTTGTGCATACTTATAATAGACCCAAGTCTATTGTCATAGGGACCAACTATCATAGGGAAAGCAATAAAGCCTTCCTATCCAAAGACCCCGAGTACCAGGTGGTGCCACAGGACGCACAGGTACTTCTGGCCCCAGAACTCTATCCCAGAGGTTAGTAAAGCCAGACTCCCATCCTCCCCACAAAGGCATGCCTGAATTTAGTGTCACGTGTGAGTTACTGGATTTAATAACATCCTTTATCACTCATCCCTATAGACTATGGAGCCGGGGATTCTAGTTACTTCCTCCCAACCATGAGACCCAGGTGTAAGAGTCCCAGGAAGACTCCCACCAGAGCACCTGCAAACTTCCCAGTTCAGGGAAGCTATGAGAAGACACTGCATACACTAAGGGCTCACAGGATCTCAGAGCTGCACTAGGCTTAGGGTTTAAAGGAAAATGCTCCAACCAAGCTATAAAGACACCCAGCAATACAGACAGTCAGTGTTCACAGGTTTTGGGTAGAGCTGAGTGTCATGAAAGTATCTGTGCTTTGGAAAATTTGTAGCAGCTTAGTAAACTCAGGAGACAATGGCTTATCACCCTGCTTAAGACAAGGGTCACAGGCACGTGAAAGCATCCTGACTCAGAGCTCAGGAGATGGGGAGAGAGGCAGTCACCCCTGGCCCTGAATATGGCTGCAAAGGTCCTAGGAAAAGAAGCCTGTTCCACTGCCAGAAAAATAAATATAACTAGACCACTTTGCCCTGGAAGCTACAAGATCAACGGGCAGCCTATGGAATGATAAACTATCACGTCCATTTAATTAAAAAATCAAAGCCTAACATTGGATAAGATCTTGGGATTCCATAAAATTTAATTATCACGTACTGCATATTAATGAGCATATTACAGGATCTATTTTGAAATAATTTTATCCCATACTACTGCAGGCATATTTAAGACTGAGGTTCAGTAATTCAAATCCCTCAGCATTCACAGTTTGGGGAGCTTTCATTTGTTGCAAGTCCCAAGTATGTTAGACAGTCTCGGTGCTGCCCTAGGAATAGACCATGGAGCTAGGAGACAGTGACCAGAAATTACACTAAGTATTTCTATGTCATGCTCTCATTACTGTTGTGACTATTCTGTAAATTAAGCCTTCCCATGAGGAAGAGGCTGTGTGCCCGACCCACAGCATTTGAAAGACCTTCAGGGGTGTCTTACAACTGAAAGCTCCCGGGCAAAGCAGTGCATCTCAGCCATGTCACCATGCAGCCCGTTCTACCAGAAGACACAAAGCTTGGGACTCAGCGAGACGAAAGGCGGACTCTCCAAAGGATACGCGTACTCATTTTTAGATACGACATTTTAAGTCCTCCCAAAAGAGGTGTTCCGTGAGAGATGTACCTTTTGAAGATCAGGGCAACGACAAAGTCCGGGTTCACCTTGATTCTCCAGTCGCACTCTTTCCCAGGAGGGTACGGCTGTGGGTAGTTAGGGGATAAAATGACTCCTGCTGGACCCGTGAGATTCCCTCCACACGCGGCTGTCATAGAACAAAAGTCGCAGAGGAAAAGTCAGGGGAGACAAGAAGGCCGAGCAATGAAAGGAGACATTAGAGAATTATTTTAAAGAGGGCTCAGTGGTCAGCCTTTCCCCATCAAAGACACCAGGCGCCGTGATCTGGAGAGAACTACGGATTCCCAAAGCCTACACATCTTCACGTAATTGTGAAGCATTTTGGGGGGGGATTTTCATACCTCTAAGAAATAAAAGTTTCTTTATATCATTTTAAACTTTATCCAATTAAATTGGACAGGATACTTAGTCCCCACACCCAACACCCACACACACACTCCTTGGACAGAAAAAAGTCCCCGTGAATGACACCGTGTGGTCCTCTTAACTCTTTTGCCAAGGCCTAGGCTTTTACAAAGTCATGTTTACTTCTTCTAGAACACACCCTCCACATTTGTAGCTAACACCTAGCTAGCACTGTTCCTTGATCATAAGTATTCAGGAAATCTTTGTTGAGTGAGAAGATAAATGTCATTTTACATTTTGCACAGTTTTTTCTTCTATGTAGGTCTGGGTTGTTTTCAGCACATATCAAAATGGCAAAGCAAACACCAAGTATTTCAGTGCCGTTTGGGAATATCTAATGAACAGGGACTAAAACTGAAAACCTTATCTCAAAAGGACATTCTTGAATATAGTGCATAGAACATTATGTTAAAAAGACCATTTTATGTGCTAACAAGTTTAGTTTGTTTTTGCAAACTAGGTTTGAATTAGACCTGTCCACATTACAACATTAAGGCAGGAATTATGAGATGTGATGTTCTTAGTACGATCATTATTTGTTCTTGAATCTGATAATATTTAGTATTTTTCCTGCACTAGATAAAATTTCTCTTAAATCTTCTACCACAAGGACTTTGGTAAAACATGACACTTGTAAGCATGAGCGTTTTAGATTTCTGCACAAAGGCTCTGGGTTTAATGGCTCTTTATAGAGAATCTGTGATTTGTCACCAGGTTGTTGTAAAATATCATCCCAATTAAATCATAGTACTCCTCCTAAACTAGAGACCTTATTTCACATTACTGACCAAATATGCATTTAGAAAAAAATAAGTGGAGAATAAAATGTCCTAATGACTGACCTTTATCCACAAAAAGACTGCTTTTGTGTAAATAAAATGAACATACATTGTGCAGCACGTACACTGCACAATTTTCAGGGATGTCTGGGTCTTCAAAATATCACCTAACATTCCTAAAACTTGGTTTTCACAAAGAAGAAATACAACCGAATCTAGTACCTTTGTTATAAATTCAAAGGCAAACCCTGAATAACATCACAGGAAGTATTTATAATAGCTTCTGAAAGGTGTATGCTCAAAGTAAGGCATTATAACGGTCATAAAAAGATGAAAACCTGATGTCTTCTGGCACCTGAATAAGCTACGTGTAGACCATCGCCCAGAGCAGCCCCAGAGTCAGGTGGATGCTGACAGTGTCGGGCAGGAGGAACGGGGCCTTTGAGGTGGAGAGAGAAGGCACCTGGTGGTCTCTAGAAGATTCTATTCCACACAGGGTTTGGAAGATGAAAAAGAACAGATTGGGGCACTGTTCACGGGTGCCACCAGCAGGTGTCCAGGAATGTGATGCAGATATTGACGCAAAGGAAGCTGGGTGTCCTGTCTTATTCTTGCTGTTCTAGGAGGCCCTGCAGGTGAGGCTGTTTAAATCCTGGGACGTGGTTGAGTGGCCCTGTCTAGCCTTGTTTGTTCTCTCTGAGTCTTGTGTTCTTCATTTTAGCTCCATTAGGTTTTAATTAGAGAGCTTGCAAAATGTTTTGGATGGGTTTAGAATTTAGTAGAAAATGCAGCTCAGAGACTGTGGGAAATTCCCCAGGGAGAATGGTCACTGAGGCAAAACCCCCACCTCCACCTCCACACAGCCAGAATCTACAGAGGGGCTCCTTCCCCCATCAAGGGCGGGAGCAACTCCTCTTCAGCTCTGTTAATGAAACAGATCAGCATTCTCCATCAAAACACTTGAACATTCATGCCATTAAGTGAGATAATTAATCTTTAAATAGTCACCCTGAAGGTCGGGGCAGGCTGCTGCCATCAAATGGGTTTCTGCAAACTCAGGGTGCCTCTCTGCTTTCCAGAGCTCCGTAGGATTTGGATGTGAGGGCAAGCAGCTGCAGGCTACCTAAGCAAATGGAGGGTTTGAGGGACACGCTGCTCAAATTAGAAAGCCATCTGTGTCCTCTGGGCTAGAGAATTAGTCCCTCAGGACTCAGCACAAAGGCCACCAGGAGGAGGTCCATTGCAAGGGGCCTCTGGGAAGAGAAAGAAGGAGGGGGCGCCCAAGCCGACCATGGAGGAGATGAGATGAGCAGCAAATGATACGGTGGTGAAAATGTGGATCTCGTGGAGTGGGTGAGAGGCTTGGAGAGCTTCTGCAGAGAAGAGGGAGCAGAGCCAGACCACGGAGGGAGCAAGGCACTAGTGATAAGAGGGGCAAAGAGAGTAGCTAGCCAACCTGGGCAGGACAAATTAACATGGCTCGAAAGTGTAGGGAAAAAGATTCAGCCCCATGATTAATTTAAAATGCCAGTTACAACAAGGGCTCGTCACTTCCCACCCATATGAAGTCTTAAGGTTAAAACTATCATTGGCTGTGAGTTTGAGTCAGGGAAAAGAAACACATGGCCAACAACAATGTCAGAATTCTGAAAGAATTTTGGAAAATGTTCTGGACAGATGTAAGTTTGTAGAAAAATGGCATTCATCAGTAATCCTGGGTGCGTTTTGCAGCAAGAATGTTCATCACAGCTCTCGTCATAGGGAGGGGCCTAAGCAATTTAATTTTTAGTAATCAGGGACCAGAGGCTTCAACACTGTAGGCTGAAGCTGAAGATACCAGAGAGTGTTGTCTGGTTAGGGCCAGCAGAGCTACATTCCAGAAAGATGCTGTTCGGTCATTAAAATCAGTAAAAAATATATCATAATACAAGAGACAGCATGTACTGATAAGTAAAATCTGCAATTTCCAAAATAATCATGCAGGATAATGTTATCTAAAAACATTGTAAAAACAGACATAATTCTGAATTTATATACACATGTTTGTGTGAATAGTAACTGCCTTTGGGCAAGACATTGATGGCTTTCTTCTCTTCTGGTATTACTGCAGCTTACAAAACATCTGCAATAAGCATGCATTATCTTTCAATATGGGAAAAGGGTAGAAAATTACTCTCTTGAATCTTGAGAACAGGATTTACCTGAGTACTAATATGCTGACACCCTATGATAAAAATATTTTCCAGAGGACATAAGCCTCATTTCTGAAAAACAAAACTTACAATGTATTCAATTTATTCTCAATGACATATGTCACATTTTCCTGCTACAAAATCTCTATGTGTTACCAGGTCTAGTCGCCAAAATAAGTGACTGACTATCCAGTTGTCTACAAGTGACAACTCGTGCTTATGGCAGAGCAAAGGAAGGGTGGTGGTGTATGTTTTGTGCTGAGGACTGGATTGTTCAGCTGCTGGTCAAGATTAGGTGACTCAAGGATGAGTTAACAAAAGATGACAGAGTAGTTGGGAAAATGGTGACATTTTACAATTACATCTTTAAATGAATGTAAAGTAATGAGTTGCTTTTAAGAGATAAACTTGCAGTTGTGCTGCTTTTCCTCCCTGAGCTTAAAACATGCAAAACGGAAGGGAAAAAAAGCCTTCCTAATTTTAAAACATTGGCTTCTGTTTGAGTTATGGTTGTGTTCTAGATAATTACGCCACTTTGTAAAAGAAACACGTGGAACACTTGCAGGTCTCCTGTTGACTCAGCTCACCCTAAAATGCATGACAGCTCCCACGAAAGCGAAGGAATGGAAACCCACATAGAACATTAAATAAACATGGCTGCTCAGATGAGGTGGTGAGTTAAGGAGCAGAGCTATCAGGTCTCATCTGTCTTCAAGAATGCTTTGTGGTAGGGAAAGTCTATGGGGTGCTGAGGATGGCAGAATAAAAATGTATTTACACAGCAAATTCCCTTCAAGGTCACTGTATGCAAAAATGACCCACTGACTGTATGCATGCCATTTCATTATCGCCATCTTGGCTCAGATTAATTAAATTTTACATTTTTCAAAAAGATAATGAAGAAACCGTGATAGTTCATTAAAATCATAAAAGGTGAGTAGAATTTTTTAAAATTGAGATGATATTCTCTAAACAGATCTTCTGGGTTAAAATGTTTAATTGAAGGAAGAGACGGTCTATGCGTAATTACTACTTTATATAAAAATGCATTTCCCTAAAGTCATATTTATGATAGATCACCCTAGATGGCTATTCATACTGCAGTCTGAAAACTCATTTGTTACCCTTTTAAAATGGTCAGACGATAAAATTCTCATGTTTAGAAGGAAATTGCTCTTTCTTCCTTCTTTTTCACAAAAGCAAAATAATTTCTAGTTTGGGGATTTATTTAAAATGTACTGATAGAGAAAAACACATCTAAAAAGAAAGTGCTTTGTAGTGAGTGGGTTTTGCTTAAGGCCACATTTCAATATGAAGAGCAATGGTAGGGTCACAGATTTTGAGCCACCTGGAATTTTAAATTAAAGCAGTTTGGGTGATCTATATTTACACTAGAATTATTAAGGACAAGAAATGTTAGCAAAATGTCAATTATTGTACACTAAGTAAACTACTTCCCTTATTTCTCCTAATCAAATAAAATTTAAAGGTTTACAATTAAATTTCAGTATGGCCTCCGAGAGCCCCAGGACACTGAAGGAGCTCTTGAGAGACATTCCTGAGAAGCAATACATTAGCAGAGCAATGTTAGTGATCAGCTGCACTCAGGACCACAGCGGAAATTTGATTTCTGATGCCTGATACCTATGCACGTAGGAGGGTCTGGCTGCCAGAAGAAGCGGTTGTTGAGTTGCACACAGGTGATCTTGGCTTGGCCTTGGAGCTGATACCCAGGGTCACACTGGAACGTGATGGTGTCTCCAGGCTCCCGGCTGTCACCATAGCGGGTACCGTTCTGCATTGTCCCTGGATCATTGCAGGTGGAGGCAACCGAGGCTACAAGGAACAGACAACACAGGTCAGACAGCTGCCAGTGTGGTTTCTGCCCTGCACCGTGGGTTGAAGCCTTCATTTTTGGCATAAGGTTTGGTTTGTTTGCAGATGAACATGTGGGAGGAATGTAGGTCCCCAGGGACCCATCAGTCACAGGCGTCTTGATTGTGTCGGCATTGGACAAGTCCTAGCAAAATCTTACTGAAAGCACCCCAGTTGTAAAAATGAAAACTTATACTGTCCATGCCCAAGCACATTCCCCTTGGATATACCCTCAGATATGCTCTGAACAGTATTTTAATAAAGCACACGCCACAGGTTCGTTGACTTAACTAAAGAGCACCAATCTCAGAACTTGAGCAAGATGAAACAGGAGGAATTCCTTTCAGGTGACGGGTCACTCTTGTTGACGTTCTAGGGGAGCCAGCCTCAGGGGACGACTGGTCATCTCACCCAGACCCGATGGGCCCATAGTGCTACGGCCTCAGCAAATGATGAATAACTCCCTTTCGATTTCAAAAGAGCTACAGTGTGACCACTCCAGTCTTTTCCCCCTCCCTCCCTTACTTCCTTCCTCCCTCCCTTCCTTCCTCTGTCTGTCTTTCTTTTCTTTCCTTTTTCTAGTGGTGCTAGGGTTTGAACTTTGGGCCTCCCATTTGCTAGGTAGGCGGGTGTTCTATGCCTTGAGCCACATTGCCAGCGCAACGCCACCCCAATCTTAACAGAGGCTCTGAAAATGATGCCCCTGAATTTTTTTGTAAAAAAGTAAAAAACGTATGAGGACTGTCAGGTCAGTGGAGAGGAGACTGGCGGACGGCTTTCAGGCTTGGAGTGTGCATTTTCAGGCTCTGGCAATCACGTGAAGTGTCTGTGAAATCACATCACATGGGCAGGGGGTACCTGTGACCCCGGTCTCATTCCTGAACTCTGGACCCCACCTCACACGGAAACATGGTGGCTCAAAGAAAAAGTGACTATGTCCTCGCATTCTACAACTGCTACATATTAAGTGTGACACTAAATATTAGAAACTACACCCAAAAATCCAAAGTATAAGTGTCTTCTTGATCTTCCAGTTTAACTTTGGAATAGAGGACTGAGGGCGCTTTTCCTGTCCGCTTACAAGCGACTACGTCACTCGCCCTGTGAAGGGCTGTAGTGTGCAGGACACCGTGTTTCTGGAAAGAGGGAAAGAGGACCATTCCCTGTCATTCTGGCCTCTCAAGATTTGTCAGTTTAAAGTAATGGATAGGCTTTCTTTCTTGTTTTATAAACTCTGGAACCCTAGGGTGTGTGTACACATGTCTGTGCATGTGTGTGTGCTGATGTGTGTATATTTATATACATGTGTGTGGTATGTACACAATATACATATATGTATGCATATACAGTTACACACATGGGTGTGCTGTTTGTGTATCTATAAACATGTATGTATATGTGTGTCTACACACACATCTGTGTATGTGTACTCTTTGCTACGGAGTGGTTTCTAGCCTAACGGAGGAAGGAACAAAGCCACGGGAGACAGAAGTGGGAGTGGAACTGTGGTTTGGGGACCAGAACCCTAATGAAAAGCATGCCGGGTGCCACCATCAAGGACCCTGTGTTTGGTCAGAACTGCTTCAAATCCCAGAGTGGCTCACTAGGACTAATTAGGACTTAATGATTGCTCACGCTCACTGATCTTCACCTAACTACTTAGTGAAAATGAGATTCATAATGAAGTTATTAGGCAGTTTGGGAAGATCCAACTCACCCGCCTTCCTCTCTCTTCTCCAAGCTAAGCAAGGGAGGAGCTGTGTTAATCACTCACCATTTTTCTGCAGTTGGCTTTCACTGTATATTGAACTTTATACACTGGTGCCTCTCTAACCCAGTAAGAACAGCAAGATAGCAACTCTGTCTGTCATGCTGAGTAAGAAGTAGGAAATTAGGAAATTACCAGCACACCAACATCATCAACACAGAGCCATGCCTACCTTCCCGTCTCACCCGCTTGCACTCTGATGAACGACATTTTTATCATTTCCTTGTTTTTCTGCAGAGTTCTCGCAAATGAATGCTTTCCAGAAGTGGCAAGCAGACAGGCTCCCTTGTGTGTGCTGTTGACAGTGTGTGAATGGCAGCTCCACTGGTTCTTGCTCAGCGTTGTGCTCCTGGGGGCCAGCCACACATGGGCACGATCTCTGGGCTATTCATTTTCCTTGCTGCATAGGTTTCTAACAGGTGACTTTACCAAGATCTATCTGTTGTCGTTCTATAGAGTGTTGGGCTGTTTTTCTTTTTGCTCTTACATGTAACACTGCCGTGTGAATTCTTGTCCCGTTGCTTGTCCTACACACTGGCTCTTCAATCTTACACTCTCGTCTTTTAATTGGGTAGTTTCACCTCAAGTTGATGGAGCTTTCAGCTCTGTCTGGAGCAAATCTTGACCATTTCAGCTTTTCCTTTCTCTGAACCTTCACCCTCTTTCCTACGTTTGCGCTTCTGTACTCCACTTGCATTTTTCCTGTGTTTTAATAAAACTTCCCTAGAAATTTTAGTGTGTACTTACTTTTGCATTCTCTTTCCTCCCTAACATTTTAGAAAAATTTAGTTGTTATCGCTCCCTCCTTATTTACGTGTTATGCTGTCAAGTATTTTAGTTATTTAAAAAAATCTTAGAGGAGGTGAATTCAAGTATGATATATTTGATACATTGTAAGAACTTTTACAAATGCTACAATGTACCCCAGCACAATAAAAAATAAAAATCTTATTGTCACTGTTGCTTTTTTAAACCTTATAAATTAAAAACAGTATTGTTACTATTTTATACAATTGTAACTGATTGTTTAAATTTTTTTGTACCAATTTAGCAATTTGTTTACTAAGCATTGTTACTGGGTATTTTTACTGAGCATTTTAAGTAGGTATTTTTTTCATCTGGTTTAATTTTTCTACTTTCTAAGGATTATTGTTTTGAAACTACCTTTCATAATGATACAAGGTGGTTTGAACTATTTTCAAAGATATTTGGGCATTCATGGGGCATATTATCTTTCACTCATGTTTTTATTTGTTTTCACAGTCTTAAATCTGGATTCTGATGTTAATTCCAACATCAATGGTATGCTACAGTCTTGTGCTGTTTTATAATTTTCACTTCTATTCCTTGGAACATTACTGTGACAATTCTTTGCTGGCTTCTTTGAAGGTCCATCCATCCTTTGATTTCCTGACATAGCTGGAACAGTACAAGCCTTAAGCATCTTTAAATAAATTCTTACCTGAAGCATTTTGGGGCACACAGATGGTGAGATTTCCTCCACAACTGGTTTGAGTAGTGCTGTGGTTCTGAGTTATACATCTTGGTCTGCATCTCTGTGTGTATCCATGTCAGTATCTATATCATGTCCACATCCCTGCCTGGCAAGCTCACCTCAGAGCCTCACCAGAAAGCAGTGTGTTCTCTGAGATTTCCACATTGGAACAACCTGAAACTGTGTCCACATTCGCTGAGCCAGAGGTCTCTTCAGGGAAAGTCCAATCATTGTCACCAGGAATCCAACAGATTCCATCAGGGCAAAGCCATCTTCTCAGCTGAAAAATTTCTGCATTTCACATGATTTCAGACACTCTGGGGATCCTTATTCTTTTCAAGGCTCAGTGATGCATTTCATAAAGCTAATACAAGGTTTATCTAGCACTTTTATTTCCACTGCATCCATTTTCAGAGTGCACTCAAAGCCCTCAGTCACACTTGTCTCAACACTTAAAGTGTCTTTACCCTCCTTGTCATCATTGTGAATATCAGGATGAGGCACCTGATGGGAGAATTTCATGTGGAGGCAGAATTTTCCATGGGCTTGAAGAGGAAAGACAGTGCTTGGGTTTACAGAGGAGGAGTACAAGAAAGGCCATGCAAAGGTGACTGGAAAGATGGAGTGATCACTTCCTACTCCACCGCCAGCAGGTTACAAGGTTGGAAGACAGAGCAGAATCCATGCACAGCCCTCCAGGAGAAGCTGGGCTCAGGTAGACTTGAAGACATGGAGCTCACAGTTACAAGGTCGTCAGGGTTTTGCCCATAAGCCACAGTTTTAAAGCATAGAGTCCCCAGAGTCACAGCATCTGATGCCGTCACCCAGGTACACAGCGGGACTTGGGCTGAGCTGGTGTTTTGCAAGCGATCTTGGGTTTTCTCACAGAGCAATGTTCCTACAGAATATAGGACCTTGTAGAGCCCCATGTGTCTGAGATTTCTCTGGGCTTCAGAAAAATATCAGCCATCCCTGGTGTACCTTTGAACCCTTGTTGCTTGGACTGAAGTTCACATTGTCAAAGCTGAATTCATCCTGTTCTCAGGCAAATAGCCACCTCCCAGTGAAAAGTTCTTCTGGATATATGTGGTATAACATATGGGGTACATTCATGGTGAGTATGACAAAATTTATATGACAAATTGAGTATTGCATAGCATTAATATATTTAAAAAATAAAAGTTTAGAAGGAAAGCAAAGGAGATCATGGGAGAGAGTCTCCTTGTAATTTTTAAAACCAAGCTATGCCATTACTTTTCCACATTTTTATTTAATAGTCATTAAAAGCAAAGATGCACAATATACAAATAAGATGAACCCAAAGCACAACTGGAAGAAGAACTGCAACAACTCATCTGCCCTGTAAAAACGTGTTCTGTAGCACTCTTCTCTGAGCCTTTGTAGGATCTGGTTGGGTAAATTCTGCATGCTTCAGTTCCCTCTTGGAGGTCCCCTTCACCACTGTTGAACTCAGTGTAGTCTAAATTCATGGAATCATAGAGCACCTCCCAAAAAACCATCTCAAAATCCTTCCAAAGAAAGATCCACGCAATGTAAGTGTGTGAAGCAATGGCTCACCCTTCAGTGGCAGGAGACTTTATTCATCCTTGAAAGTAGCTTTCTACTTGTAAAACAAAACTTCACATGGAATAGCTGTAATAACAGTGATAATGAGACAGTTGGAGAGGTCATGTCCTC